TCAGAGCTTTTCGGACTACGAAAAGTTTCCTTGTGGGTCTCGGGCGGAATAATTGATAATATTTTTTTTTGAGTTTTTGAAATAGGTTTGCTAATTTTCCAATTTCTCGCATGTTTGTGATGGGAAAATTGGCCTTTAATTTGAATCTTGAAAATCGGAGAATTCCGAAATTTCGAAACTTTGAAAATCGAAAATTTTGAAATTCAAAACCCCATGTTTCCTTGGAGTCAATGTATCCTAAGAACTAAATGTACTATTGGATCCTGGGCCTGAAAATCGGGAAATTTCGAAAATTTCAAAATTGGAATGTTCAATAATCCCAAAATTTTGTAACTCGGAATTTTCGACATTCTTAAAAAACTCCGAATAAGTCATTCCAAACGTCTTTGAGAACTACAGCGAACTAGCTTCTAGATAAGCTTTGTAATTGCTTAAAAGAGAAATCGGTCACAACACTTTATTGTTTTTCATTTCAATTCAGTTCACTTTGCTATCCATTTAACAGTGACAAGTCCTCCAGTTGGCTTGGTGACCTGCTTAAACAATTCGGCGACCTTCTTCTCGTCCCCAGTCAACTGAAAGTTTTCCAAATTTAAAATATATAGCATATATTTTCAGTTTCATATCTTACCACTGTATTCACAATAACCATTTTGCCCTCTTTCGGTGCCGCCTCGGAATCCGGTGGAGTCTCCTAATTTTTGTACTGAGTCTGCAAACACGGACTGACAGTTTTTTATCCTGACAATAATCCGAGGAAAAAATATGGAAAATACGGAAATACGGAATATATTTCTAGGTTACGGTAGTTGTCGCTGTGGGACTCGCAACCACTGGCGTTTCTCTTCCACAGCTCCGATTTTTAGTGCCAGAATAATAATAATAATAATAATAATAATAATATTAATAATAACAGAATCACTTTTTAATATATCTTGAATGATACAAGTTTTGAATATTCATAAAATATCAAAAATATTTATTGAGTTCTATCAAATAAGTTACATAAGTCCATCAACCAGAACCATCAGAGTGATTGCAACTGAAGCGAAAACAAGAACCGCGCTGAAGATCATCTGCCATTTGAAAGAGCTCAACGATGGAAGTGGTTCAGATGATTCATGAGATCTTGATCCTGTCGAACGCTTTGTTTTTTTCTTTTTTGGTTTTCCTGATTCTCTCGATTTGCTTTTCGATTTGGAATCCTTCGTTGCTAGGGCGGGTTGTACTTGGAATCTGAGTTTCGAGGGTTTTCAGAGCAACTTTTTCTCAGAATTTCTAACTTTTCAGCTGCCGATACTGGAGCCAACTCATTCACAGGGGTTTGTGGTGCCTCGTTGACAGGAGCACCACCAGCAGCAGGGACATTTACAGGTGGTGGGGGAGCAAGCTGAAAATCGGAAGAACAAATCCAAGACTACATATTCTGAATTTTTCTCTCACTAAATCTGGGCTCAGGAACTCGTAAGCATCATCAGCCATGGTTTTGAGAAATCGGGAAGAAGCGACGTAGAAGATCAAAAAGAAATGAGAAATACTAGAAAATGAGTTTTTGAATGACGTGGGTAAAAACTCGAAAACCCCCCTTTTCGATTTCTGCTGAGCTGTTTTATTTTCTGAAGTTTGAAAACGAATTGGGTCATAAATTACTTCATTTTTGCTTGCAATCTTTTGTTCTGGTAAACGAAAAAAAACGGGGAATTTTGGAACATGAAGAAGAGGAGGGGCGTAAAAAGGGGCAGGGAAGAAAGAATTTGAGAGAAAAAAAACAACGGAAATTATGATACAGTCATCGTAATGATGAAAACAGTGATTATGAAAAAGACGAGGTTATTTCTAATCAACACACATGATGTTATTATGAGGTAACAATTTTACATAAAAAATGGGAAGGTTGTCTAAAATTCTTTGGTCCTTAGTGGCGAATTTTATAAAAATTTTCATAAGTGAATCTTCAAAATGCTCAATTGGAACAAATGAGAGAATGAGAGGAAAGGACGCCGATCACGATGAACCCGCACAATTCAAAGACGATAAACTTAAATTACTCCAATATTAATCCTAAAATGATATAGTGTGTCAGAAGAGAGAAGAAGATCAATGGTATGAGAAAAGAAGGGTACAAATGAAAGCTTTAAGGGAAAAAGAGAGATGATTGAGCACTCGGAAAGTGAGAGAGGAAACGAGGGTTTAACTACTGTAGCAGATCTAATTAGATCGAGAAAACTTGTTTTTATTGCACAATTGAAACTAAAAACTGGTTTTTGGAGGGTTTTCTCAATTTCGCGATCTCTTAAAGAGTACAAACAGATTCCTGCATAATGTATTCTTGCGTCTGCTGCGTGATCGTTGGATCGATATCCTCGTCTTCATCAACGTCCGATTCAGAATCTGAGGGATTCGCGACCGGTGGACTTGTTCCAGAAGATCCCGTTGAATGGGACGATGCAAGATGAGCAGACTGACCAATTTGCATTCCCATTAGCATCGCATGCATCGCAGCTACCGTTTGTGGAGCGTTCATTGGCATCGGTTGATTATTGTTCGGAGATGAAGACTCTGAGCTACTACTGCATCCGCCACTTGTACCTCTGCCGTCATGTCCGTCATTCAATTCGGAACCGGAACGATCTGTGGCATATATGCACTTCTTCTTTCGCTGGCACGGCTTGCACCACATTGATGTATTCGTCACTCCAAACCGAGCTCGACATTTCTTCTGATCGTTATTCTCAGATCCTGAAACTGAAAATTTTCATTGCACGGGAACTAAGAACATGTCATCACACTAAAGGCATGAGAACTCTTAAAAACTTACCAACGCTCTTATCTCTCTTTCTCTTTGGCTTTTTCTTGTTGACGGCGTAGTTTTCCCGAGCCGACCACTGTGGATACTTTTCCTTGTGTGATTCCCGATCCTTTTTAGCCATTTCAAAGTACTTCTGTTGTTCTTCTTTCGGCAAATCATGCCACCTCTTTCCAAGTTCTTTGTTCAGCTCTGCACTCTGCTTCTGATCATTTCCAACTTCCTCCAGCAACTTTGGCCTGTTCTCTTTCATATACCACATGAAAGCGTTCAGTGGCTTTTTGATGTGATCCTCTTTCTTAACTTTGCCTCCTCCATGTCCTCTTCGCTCATTGTGTTGTGGCATCATTTGGTGAGGCATGTATGGAGGCATTTTCATGTGATTCAATGAGGATAATGGTCCAGCTCGCATATGCATAGGCATCGTATTCTCAAGATGTTGCTTAGCTACAACTCCAGGGAAGGGGAACAATGGATTCGGCGAGAACATGGCTGGAAACGCAGGACTCAATGGGGCGCCTGCCATAGCTGCTCGCATCGTCATCATATTCATCATGTTGATATTTGGATTCGGCGATAAGTACTGTGGCTGAAAGGAAACGAATTATTTTTCACGAAATTTCCCGACTCATTCATTTGTTCATATATCCGTCTCTTTTACTGAAATACTTGTCCTCAAGTGCTTATTTTGTGTATTGGCGGGTGATAAAATACAATACAGCGATTTTGAGGAGCTGCGAACAATTACAAAACAAATATCAATTCTGTGGGGCCGCTGATTGGCGCAGCACTTGAGACAAGCTTTCATTATCCGGCTACTGTAACTGGGTGGAGAAAGCTCTAATTGGCCAATTATCATGATTGGTAAATATCTACAAGCGAAATCCAGAATTCCAAAAACAACTACTGCGACTTGTAGAATTTTTACAATTCAGAAAAAAAATCATCCATATTTGTTTTGCCGGATATCCTATTGTTTTTCATAGGAAGTAACACCAATCATGTACCGGAAGCAATTAGAGCTTTCATTCACCAAACGCGTGAGGTCATCATCTCCCGTTCAAATGAACAAAAGATGATAACTCAACGAACAGCGAAAGACACCTTTTTGAACACATTGTTTTGTCTCTTTTTACGTCGGTGGGGTGCCCAAACACGTTAAAAAGTGGTCTGTATAGGAGTCGGTTGCCCCCACCACCGAGGTGTCTAATTGTGTGTTGTATCGGAGTCTCGAGAACACGATAGTAGGAGACGATAATTACAAAAAAGAGGAAATAATTTGAAGGCGAAAGAAGGGGCTCTTGACATGTTTTGTGTTTGAGACGAAACAAATTGACTACAGACACGCCGAAGTTTTTGAAAAATCCGTGTCGGAACTGAATAAGCCGGAAAAGCTAATTGTTCGAAGAAACGTACCACAACCATAGGAAACATTATCGGCAATCCAGAAAACGGACTGTACGGACCACAAGGCAGCATGCTGGGCATCGGGAACGAGGGAGACGGTTCCGCTTTAATTTCCGCTTTCAAGCCTGTAATTAAGTATTTATTTAAAAAATTTCTCTTTTTTTTAAAATTTAATTATATGTATCGAGAGACCATATGGGCTCTCTATCGCTCTCTTTAATCCATCGAACCATTATTCTTTTAGATTTTCTTTATACAGTTTTCCCCGAAGCATACACATAAGAGAGAACCAACTTGTTCAAGTAGGTGTACTTGCCGGATTAGCACACACGGCGAGAATGGAGATAAGCCGAATACCATATAAGATGAAGAGACACAGGCACTGTTCGAAACAGATTGCGCAACATCCTTTTCCGTCATTATGCTGTTGCGCAATCGCATCCATTATCATGGACATGTTGTTTTGCGACCTACACATCACGAACTACTGTGTCATTTTATCCGCTTTTCAGATTTTTTGAGGAAGTTTCAAGATTTCCCCAGGAGATGTTTGGACTAAGTGTGTAATATTGGTGGATGCGAGAGGTTGTACGTTCTCAGAGATAGAAAAGTGGCCGTTGGTGGTCCATAAAACTTTGTGTGATAATAGATTGAGACCCCCCCGTCTTTCAAATCAAATTTATGAGACGTTTCATCCGATTTTCTCGATATTTTCAAACGAAAAACTCACCACCAATCAACGGAACTCGCCCAGCACCGTCCAATTCTGCTTCCATCACTGCATCTTTTTTGTCATCTGCAAGCTGTTGCTCTGACGTTTCTCCACTGATCATAGGATCATCGTCAGCGTCTTCATCTCGGCGAAACACCTTCACCTCATCGCCGAGCTCTTCGTCGGCCATCATTCTTGATATCTGGAATCAAGAAAGTTTTTGAAAAATGTGTTAACAACAAAAACTTAAACAACGGACTTCACGAGCAACGATTAATTATTGAAAGCAGCGAACATTTGTACAGCGGTGCAAAACATAACTCATTAAAACAGTAATCCATTAAATCTTAGGTAACTAACAGAAAAAGAAAGCATCCACTTGCAAAAGCTTCGAAAAAAGTTCAAAAATTGAGCCCCAGCGGACCATTTTATCGAGGGACTAGTTTTTGCGACCCTTGAAAAAGTTCGGCCGCCGAGAAAAAGTGGTGGGAGTTTTGAATGTGTCTCCTTTTTATCCAGAATTCTTATTCAGAAAGTGAAGAACAGAAAACAAAAATTCGATAGAAGTCAGTGCCAAACAGCTGTTTGGGACAACATATGGAATGGTCTTCTACAGGAAAAAAAATTAGGCCATGAGGAAAAATGAAAATAAAAAAGAAGTTCCCAATTATAAAATGCAAATAAATGGGAAGTAGGAACCCAGCAGGAGGTGAAAGAAGAATTAGGCAGGAAAATAGTCGAACGAAAAGAGGCGAAAAGGATCCATAAAATTCAAATAAATGACGGGGCGGACGAGCGGGAGGCGAGTGGCGGTGTGCGCGGTCTGCACCATGGCCCTCCACCCAAATCATCTGCGTCTCTTCTATTTCTCTCATCAAGGGGCCGCCCATGCTAAATGGTGTGTGAGAAGGGTTTGTGTGTGCGCAGGTGGCCGACAATAATAGCTGGAGAAGAAGAATAAGAAGAGGTCAAAAGAGAGCATTATAGAACCTGACGAGAGAAATGGTGGGCGAGAAAAAAGAAAAGAAAAAGTAAGGAAAGTTGATGATAAGAACTAATCGAAAGTGTTCATCTCAAATTGAAAAAGTGACTCGCCGTCTTGTTGCGTCTAAGCATCCCAACTTCATACACTGTTCACGGAACAAAATGGCAGCGAGGGTGTAGAAAGAAAAAGGAGGGATAGAGACACAGTGGGTTGTGTTCTTCTTCCTTTCATTCTTCATTGTGAGGAAGAGTATGTGACCCTCACCAGGAGGAAAAAAAACGGAAAAAAGAGAAAACGGAGATGGCAGAACTACCAAAATTAGTAGAAAACTTTGATGTGAAACACGCCCAAAACTGTACATTCTTTCAATTTCGAGTCAATAACATGTTTTAGAAAAATAGGGTTACGGTAGTTTAGATGAAGACCTTCGCGATATTAAACTTTTTAAGTGAGAAATGTTTTCGGTTAGAGTTCTCGGCCTACGGACTGCTCCGCTAGGCGCGGCGCTAGTTTAAATCTACAGTAGTCAGAGCGAATGAGAGTCAAGAGAAAGAAAAATTAATGTCCCAAAACAAAGTAGTGGCAGTGAATGTAGGACGAATGAGAGTGCAAGTTGCTAGTAGATACATCACCTAGCAGGTGGGTCTTTGTCTCTAGAAAAGAAGAGAACAGATGTGGATATGAACTAAAAAAGTGCAATCTGATCGATTTTGGAAACCTACTCTTCGTGGGAATGATGCTATTCAGATAAATACAATTAGTGTGTTTCCTGTTGTCACCTTTCATGTCAACTCGTAGACAGTTATGAGAACGAAAGGTGCGAGTGTAATATGGGACAGATACAGGTGTCACAATAAAAAGAGATTAGGTGAAGAGCTACTATGGCGAATGAGGTAGAGAGCAATTAGAAAACAGTGGTTGTAAATATGGGGACATTGTTGGGATTCTGGAAAGACAATAGCAGGAGATCTGGCTTTTCAGAAAAGTGGAGTTTCAGAAAATTATGTAAAAATTTAGCAAAGTATTATGCTGGCATTCAAAATTCGGAGCCCTGGAAGAGAAAATCTGGTGGCCGCTTTTCGTCCGTTAGCCACGCCCACAAGAAAAACGAATAGTACTCTCTAATATCCAACAAGGCCTAGAATGAAAAGATTCAAATGAAACAGCCCTAATGAGTAAACTGAAAGTTATCCCCGACCGCAATATGGAACTCTCGATAATAATCTTAATCCCGCCTATTTTTCTTTTGCATCTCCCAAAATTTCGCCCATTTTTCTTCATCTCTCGTAGTGCCTGCCTAATTTGAAAATTGCGTGGCGACAGACGCCGTCGTCCCCTATCCACACTTCCCATCGTCGTCCTCCCTCCATACGGCCCCATATCTTAAGATGGAGGGACGCGGACGAGTGTCAATAATTTATGTAGAAATATTGGGATAAATGGAGTGATACAAGGAAACGAAGAAGAAGAGGACGGAGGTCTAAGGAAAAACATCGATTGATCATCAATTGACATGCAACCATCCTCTTCCCGCCTACCATTCAGAAACGAACAAACTGGGAGGAGGGGATTAGCGTGAAAAAGGAAAAATGGAGACGGAACGTTTGAATTTTTGGAGGACATTCATACATGAAAGATGGAGAGAGAGTATAGGAAAGGAGTAAAGGCAAGCATTTGTTTATATATGAAAAAAGGAAAGCAATGTTTTGATTCATTTAGGCGTGAAACATCGAAGGCAGCACTTCTCCAGATGAGAACTACAGTATCCCCAGAATATCTAGAAGCGATATTCAAAAGCCTAAACAGTAACAAGCCGTTCAATTCGAATGCTCCCTTTCTCTCTATTGCCTCTTCTCAACCTCCAGTCAGTCAACTGTCTTTGTCATAAATATAATAGATCATCTTCTTCATCTTCATTGAAAATGATCTCAGTAACCTCTGTTGCTCTGGTGGTATGGGGCATCTCACTTTTGTTTAGATTCAACTGTGTCACTTGGATATGGCCTACTTATTTTCACACTTTTCTGTCAAAGTGCTGAATGGTGGCTCACTGGAGATGAGATGTTGGACGAGTAGGCCAGTTGTGAAGGAATGAAAAGTCTATGGTTTAGATCGAAAAAGTGGGATGACAAGACCGAAGCACTCTCAGAACCCTTTTGGGGTTTTACAAACGTTTAACTTTTACACCTCTTACTCTTACTCTTATTGTGGTTTAAAAGAAAAAAAAATCGGAGCTGTGGAAGAGAAACGCCGGTGGCGGGGGCCGAAGGTCCCACCGCGATAACTACCGTAACCTAACAAAATTTCGTATTTTATCACTGGTTTTTGTCGAGTTTTTTTTGGATAGCGAAAAAATTGACTGAAACCCCACAAAAATCGAGATAAAATCCGGAAATTAAAAATCTTTTTTAGGTTACGGTAGTTGTCGTTGTGGGACCTCAGCTAGCTCCGATTTTTCATACCAGAAAAACAACAGGGTGGTGTCTGAAAAAAACTAGATCAGCGCCAAAAATAGAAGAAAAATATTGATTGTTAAAGCCCATAAACGAATGGAGAAGCTATGATAGGAAAAATAAGTGGATAAGATGTAAACAGCCATCATCAATCCTCTAGATCATTAAGAGTGTACTACACCTGACTGACTAATTGACCCGTCCTGTTCTTCTCTTATCGGTTTCCTCTTATCGTCTCCAGCACGCCCCCAGCTTTGGAGCAGCTGGAATAAGTGACCTCTACTAGAGACGAAGGTATTGTTATCAGGTTATCAGTAATGTAATTTATACTAGCTAGAACACGGGTTTACCTCAATATTGGGTGGGACTACAGTAATGAATAAGAGTTCTAGAGAAGGGAAAAACTCGAGAGAAGTTTAGTGAAAAGAGCTGGTTGAGATGGAAGATTGAAATTGGAGTAAGCTAAAATAATAAAAAACGAGTGAAGGAGTAAGAAAAAAACGGGGGTCTTCTTTTCTGAAGGGTGGGTGATGGTGGGGCAGTAAATCATTTGCCGCCCGAAGACCCCTTCGTAGAAGAAGACGTTGTCGTTGTCGTTTTCTCCCTATTTGTCTACGATCCCTCTTTTTCGTTGTCCCCTCCCTTCTGCTTCGTTTTTTTGTGTCCATACTCTTACATATGAGATGCTTCTTGACGTTTGTGTCGTTTCCAAGCCCCCCTGTTCATCATAATGTTCACTGTGACGTGGAATGCCCGAGGCAAAGTGCCAAGATTACTGTAGTTGGGATCACAGTTGGGTGACAACAGATGTAGAAATTTTGAAAGATGCTATTTGTGGGAATGGGAAAATAAACGGTTTCAGAGATTGAATCGTATGAATATGAATTAAAGAAAAAGTTAAATGGATCTTCGAGATCTGTGATAATTATCATCTATCCTCACAACATTGATAGATATCGAAACAGCTCGATCAAGAAAAAACATCGACAACTAGAAGAACCAAACCTTAACGACGTCTGTAAGAAACGATTCTCGGTAATAAAAGCTCTTCGATGTCTGTTTCCCGGGCTCGTATAACTGGCACATTCACACGGTATGATGATGGCGGTAAAGATGAAAGGATAAATCGGACAGGAAGAATGTCATATAACTGTATGTATATGGAAGAAGACGATAAATAAGGAGAAAACCTTCATTTTACGAAAGGTTAGAAGGCTTATGGATATCTTCGATGAAAAGGTCATCCGAGTTTCGGATCGGAGTGGACCGGGTAATTACAGGATTTGAGGATTGTAAAATTTAAGTGTTTCTTCTAAAAAAACCTCAACGACCTATTAAAAAAACATAATCCATACCATTAATTTCAGCATTCCAGTAATACAATAGATTAGAAAAATAGTACTGTATTGCTCAAAGGGTAAAAATGAAAGCGGATTTTGTCAAAAGGGGTGGGTCCTTTTTAGAATACAGTATCCCACACAAGGATCCATCCATTTTCAAGTGATCCACTTCAGACACACAATGCTCTCCTATCAACTGCTCGTTTCACTTCGTTTATCACCACTGTTTCATTCTCTTTCAAGGCAAAAGGCGGCAAAAGGATTACGGTAGATAGAATGAGGGGGGAACCGCTCATTTTCTGTCTTCTCGCAGCGGGCTCATTTCTATTTGTTGACAGATAGAGATACCGACAACAAACGAGAGAGATGAAGAGACTCGTTTGTATAATTAGCATATGTATTACAAGAGGGGGAACAACTCAAAAGTGATAAGGTGTGTCTTAAGTGGAAGAGAAAGAGCACTTCACTATCACTTTCCAATCACGGACAATGATGTTCGTATTATTGTTATTAGGTAGAGAAGCATTCTACCTAGACCTTATGCGGTTATTCAGAGGGAGCCGGCAGCCAAAAAAGCTCGATTTTTCTAGGCCATTTGTGAACTCCACGGCAAGCCAACCGAGACGTTTGAAGGAAATTCCATGCGCCTTTAATGTTGAAGCGATTAACGAGCTCAAAAGTTCAAGGCGCATGGTCCTGGAGTCCACGTGGACAAGCAAATGGCCTAGAAAACTCAAGAACTGTTGGCAGCCTCGGCTGCAGCAAAGTACTGTTTTTTTTCCTTCCGGATAACCGAAACACTGAACATGAAATACTGAACTGAAACAAAGGAGAAGCTAGAATTAAAGAAAAGGATTCTAGAATATCTCCAAATCAGCCTTTACTACACAAAAAACTCACCAGAGATGAAATACTTAAATTTCGTTTTCGGAATAAAGTATTTATACAACCCAAACAACAAGCTATACAGATGTATTGAACGAAAATTATTTTTTTTTCGAAAAATGGGTCATAATAGGCGCGAAATAGATGCATCTCGTGTTCTTCCGCTAGGGGCTCTATTGTCTTCATTGTTTTGGGGGCTTTTTTTTATGATCGGACCGTTTAGAAAATGGGAACAAAAGCGGGTGGAACAATTTCAAGACACAGCTTCTACAGTATACCCATTTAGTTTTGTTTTGATGCTGCTATCCATCTACCTGGGAAGTAAAAAAAAGAGATTTCAATAATATTCAAAACGAGGAGCACATTTTTTGAAAAACTACTTGAATGGGAGACAGAGACGTCATGTTTCTTTTTTTTTTCGGCGCCGGCTGTCAAAAAACGAAAAGAAAAGTAGGGAAGTAGTGAATCAGTAATTGTTTGATGTTGCCGGTGAAGAAAGGTGGCGCAGCTGAGATTTGAATGGAAAATGGAGACGGCACGCGTCAAATTTGAGGTCAAATTGGGGGTGAAAACAGAGGGAAACGCAGGAAAAATTGAGATGGGCGAGGCATGCAAAATCAAGTGACAAATTGAGTGAAATCCGAATAAAAAAAGGGGTGAGAGAGGAAAGGAGATCCAGGTGAAAACTGTGGGAATCTGGAGATAAATCCGATGAAAACGGATATTAGTGTCGACAATATTCAAATTGAGAATGAATCTATCTTGAGTTGCACTCCACATATTGCTCCAGTTGCACTCAAGAAAAAGCACCGCTCAAATTTTAGCTTGCGTTGAAAATATCCAAATTTGAAAGTAGTTAGCATATGTCTAGTTGTCTTTCAACAGAAAATTTAAATTTGCATTTCCTTATTAGAATATCTTATACTTCTGTTTTTTCGTTAATCTCCAAAAAAAAGTTGCCACTGAAATCATTTTAAGCGGCTTCAAAATTTTGAATCATCGTCACCGCAGCGAACCTTGATTTGAAATATGGCACCTAGCAATTTGACAATTTTGAATTTCCAAAAAAATGGAAAATTCAAAAACTGTGTTGTAGCCAAATTTTGCGCCAAGAAGTTGCGACAAGCCTCACTTTCTTCAGGTGCCAGTTTGAGGTTCCGTGCATCGTCCGTATTTTATCCAAGAAAACGTAGACATTTTGGCAGTTAGTCTTCAGGATGTTTATTTCTAGAATGTAAATAACAAAGTGAATTCTAGAGACGAACACATGGGATTATAGTTGCCCAGATGATAAACCTGTTTCCCGGTAGAAGATGTTAAAACCATGAACATTTTCTCAGCATCAGAAATAAGGGTATCATGATATCCATACTCCTATCGTTCCCTTCTGTTTATTCTCATTCACACACACAACAGGAAGCTCACCACCTTTCATAACTTTCTGGCTAGCTCTTTATGAATCATTGCGTCTGCTGCTCATTCAGACTACTACTGCTCTGTCTCACTCTTTTTCTTCATTACCAAACAGAAACACAGAATAAACAAATGTGACATTGATACCTCTCCCCCTCTCTATCTTTAAAAAAAAAGCGCTTCTGGTGACCCCGAAAGACAGGCGGTCCCGTCTTGTGTGGGACCGTATCGAAATCTGATACCTCGCCCCGTACATTTTCCCGACGAACGGACCTGTGTCAAATGACCATAATACCCTCTATTTCTCTTCTTGTGTTTATTTGATCCGAAAGGACGAGGATAATGGATTATTCGAGGGACCTGGTGGAATGGATAGTGGAAAAGAAGGGACAAGAGGATCATGATGGATTGACAACTTATGATGTATACTGATTAGGTAATTTAGTGGACCGGAAACGGAAGAAGAGCTGAGAGTGTTTGTATTTATGGTCAAGTAGAGGAAGAAATCGAATCGGAAGATTTGAATATGTTTATATTGGAAAATTAATTACAACAAGAACACATGAAACCGATTGTTTGCAAAGGAAAATAACGATGAAATATTCAAAAATTGTAGAATAGCTGATTTAGAAGAGCCAATGTAATTTCTAATTGCCGTTAACACTATGATAGAATAACATCCCTAGTTTTCAACTTTGAACCCATATATCTCGATTCCTGTGAATAATATCAAAAAGTTAGTAACTAACAAAATATTTTTGATATTATGAAAAACATTTTGTCAGTTGACCACTTTTTAATATATTTTACAGAAAATGAGCTATATCAAAGTTGACGATTTGGGGCGTTAGATTTTTCTTTAAATTTCGCAATTCAAATTTTCAATTTTTAAGTTTTTGTAAGATAACCTGAATTACCTAATCTAGTTGTAATCTCATTAGCGAAAAGTAAAGAATGGCGTAACCTTTTTCTCAGATGTTTATCAAAGAAAATATCGACGAGATTGCGACGGGTGAGAATGAGATTAGGTCGATCGTTGGGTGGTAATTGAGGTGGTAATTCAAAAGATTTATAAAAGTATTAAATAACGCAGTTGGAGAGACAAAATGAGAAAATTTGAAAGTAGACAAATAAGAACAAGCAGTCAAAGGTTTAATGTCATCGCTGAACAAAAACTATTGTCAATAGAGGAAGATTATATAATGAGGAGCGAATTCATTTGGAGCAGAAGACTTAGCTCATTGTACATTTCAAGAAAATATCATAGAAAAAAAGGAAGACAATTTTGATTAGAACTCGGATTTCTTATTGAAAAGTTTGTTGGTTCAGTGAATTTCCCAAACTCTACAGTAGTGACTAAGCAAACTTAAAAGGTTCCACTCTAGTTGTATTTCAATTTTAACTTTTTCAACATGAGCTTTTCAGCCGTTTTTGGGCAATTCATACCAGAACCCGTTACAAGGCGACAGCCGAGGACTCTATGCTTGACAGTTCAAACTTCATCATCAGCAAAACGAATCTTATGAGGCTCTCAGGTGGAACACCATCTGAACTCTAAGTAGTGACAAATGAGTGGTTGCCATCGCAATTGTTTTGAGATCTGAAGCTAATTAACATGTCAAATAATGAGGGAGCTCGTGGAGAACACTTCATAGGTGGCAGACCGAGGAGAAAGAATGCAATTATATATTTGAATCACTCTCCCTCATGTCGGACCTTTGAGAGAGAAGAGGACATCTTTCGGGGGGGACATGCACAATGCTAATTGCGACCCAGATGGTGATGTCTTACGCATTCAAACAGTCTCCGGCCCTCCTCTTCATACATACGCAGCTGTCTGTGTCACGCAAGAGGGAAGAAGGAGAAACCGATTTGAATTTCGCACCACCACCGCCACACCCTATCTCATCATTTTCGGGGTGTAGGTATAAGGAAAACATGAAGACTTAAATTGAAAAAAGAAAGAATTCATATCTTGATTTTGTTGTAACAACTCATGTTGGGGGTGATGGTTCAAGGAAACTTGACAAGATGGTAATCTCTTTGAAGAGATGAGAGGGTAAACGGAGATGTCCAATTTTGAATGTGAAACGAAATGAGAAAGATGGAGATGAGATCATTTCTAATCGAGACGACAGCAGACCCAATGGCGGTTTTTGAAATTTATTCAGAAGGCGAACGGGTGAAACTGAGGGATGTGGAGAATCGACAGTGAGTTGTGGTTCAAAGGGAAGAACATTTAAAATTGAACTCGATTGTGAAAAGGCCCATGTGACCTCAAAATATGTGTTATGAAGCTACGAATGGCAGATGATCAGATGGAAGTCACCTTTTTTCCTAATTGATTGCCCTCTTTCCTTCATTTGCCCTGGGCTTGTTCCAGAACGAAACACCTGTCGGTTACCATAAAATAAGCCCCCCCCCCTTTTCCTCAATCTCATCTGCTGTCTATCATTTTTCTTTTGAACGTGACACCTGGGCAAATGCCGGAAAAGAGGTCCGATGGATCTGGTATCCAATCAAGCAGAAGCCGGTCCCGGAAAAAAAATTTACCGACTAACGAACCGAATCGCAATTCGATTTGAACCCAGAAAGAGGACCAAAAAGAATATGGGGGAATATGGTTAGGAGAAATAAGAAACAAACGAACCTTTGTTTAGTTTTGGTGTGCATCTTTTCACTGATTGTAAGCGTCGAGCCGCGCTCGTCGAAGACGCTCATATATCTTCACACGCGCATTCCCAGAGGATACATTTTTCGAGGTAAGTACCAAAAAGATGGATATTTCTCAATCCATAGAGAATCCAACATCCGATTTCTATTCTGAATTCTATAGGACCAACAAGCTTTTTTCAGATTTCAAAAATGCATAGCGTGGCAAGAGAAAATCTACAAGCCTATCTCCATTCATACAAATTATCTTCTAATGAGGTTTCCTATATTCTTGAATTTCTTGATTTGAACCCTTTTTTCAGCCTGGAATAAAATTAATGCACAATTCTCAGAAGGATGATCAACACAAGAAAGACGTAGAGCATTTTTCAGCTTTGAGAGCATTGCAACATGCGAAGGTTAGATTAAAGTTTATTTTCAAAACTCCCTGACCTGAATTTTAGAGAAAACATGTAGCGTTTGCGGTACAAGCAATGAGGGATTACGACGGGAGTTTGGATGAAAAGAGCCCATTGAAAGACCACACAATATCGTTTCAGACCAATGATTTTATTCATATTCATGCGGTGAGTAAAAGTTTTTCTTTAATATTCAATGGAAGTAATCGGAGTGAGCAGGTGGAAAGGAATTCAGAACTTTCGTAGACGTTAGGTTCTAATCTTTAGGATTGCTACTAATGAGTTTGCTTCAGAGCTGGAGCACTTTGTTGTTTGTTCAGATTCTGTTCAAAAAAACACTAATTGCTTCAGAAATTCAACTCTGATTGGTGGATTGGTCGAATCGTAAGGTCTCACAGCAACTTTGGTTTTGTTCCAACTGCTCGACGTCTGGCTAACTACATGGTATCAGATGAGGATCCAACTACAGTAACCGCATCTCAAAGCACATCCGAACATCCGGGACAGGATAGATCGAGAAGTATTTGGGAACCAAAATGCCCATACAAAGTTGTTCCTTCAAGTCGACCCATTATTCTTCTCGGGCCAACACTCCAGCATTCTCGACTAACACAGTTATTGCATTTGGCTTTAAGAGAAGAAATTTTGAAATACTTTGGAAAGAAGATCAAATATGTGAAATCAGATATTGGAAGTGGACAACAAACCGGTGATCGGAAAGGAGCAAGATGGTTACGTGGATTGAGAGATTCTGAATATGATAGAGGACAAGATGAAAACCAAGAAGTGGAATTAATAATGAGAATGACATCGAGATTGCATCTTTTGTTGGTTGATTCACCACATATTCATACTCCAGATGACGTTCAACATTTGCCATTGTCACCGATATTTTTTCTTATCAGAGTGTCTGATAATAAGGTAAGGCCATTGATTTGATACCATGGGATTGTGTTCTTGGGTCAATTGTGATAGTGGTGAGGATTGTTAACTGAAATAGGGACTCCGACTGAGGATTCTTATTGAATTAAAGTGTTCGAAAAGTTTTCTATTTTCCAAAAAGTGTTTCGGAAAATTCCAAAACAAATCAGAAATTTTCGAACCCCCCCCCTTTTTTTGCAAAATGTTCACTCTAAACGACATTTTTCGGGAGTTTGGGATTGTTTCCGTAACAATATTAGGAATATAGAAAATTAGGAATATAACAAGTAGTGATTTTCAAAAGTTTTAATTTTGGGAAAAATATTCAGAAAGTGTTAATATTTCTGTTATATTTGTTGAAAAAACACGTTGCTCCCAAAAACTTAACGGTGCATTTTTTGGGAGATTCAAAAGATTCACGTGGCTCACAAAATTTTTTGAAATTTCAGTACTTTGATGTGAAAATTAAAACTTTTGAAATTCACTACTTGTTATATATGTATTAGGTTGTTCGGAAAGTTTTTTTTAGCGTCAGATTCATTCGATATAAAAAAGGTCAAAACGATGTCAGATAAATTGAAGATAATGACCATTGTTATCAGTGACTATCTGCCAACGTCCCACCAAATTGTGGATGCCTTCCTTCCAGAACTCCGGTCACAGCGAGTTCAAAATCAGGTCAACCCATTTTTGACATCATGCTTTGAAGTAAATTTTTTTTCAATCAAGATGTCGGTAGAAATGGCTGGATAGGCGGTAGTCAGACAGTACAAGGTTTGGACTATACTGTAGATAAGACAGAACCGTTTAGCCGTATCCAGTGAGATCGGTCTTCGTTCTCCTTCCCGCATGAGGTTGCGAATTTCGATTTTGAAAATGAGTCTTTGTGTTTCTCTCCAATGGAGATCCACATGGAGTCTGAGTTATGTCACCTGACAAAAATAGGTATCGGTCATAAAAGTGACACCATTATCTGGCAGCTCCCAATACTCCACTCCTTGGTAGACATCCATGCCGAAAACATTCCATTTTTAACGTTAGTTTCACGTTTCGGGACATCTGGTGGTTGAGTGCCTTGGTCAACCCCTTTGTATTGTTGTTTATAGTAATCATACATTACCCATTTATCGCCACTAGTAATGATTTAACTTCAACATTCATGTGTGCAACGCAGGATGAGAAGATTCAAACAGGTGCCCACACATGAAACAAAGTTGCTTTGAGCGAAAAGGTGTGATTCATATTTTCCCACTTTTTTTACTTTGCCGAGAGTTCCCAATTTATGGCTTTTTGATGAAAGGCTTGCCACGGATGAACTTGATATATCCCGCACAGTTTGAGACGGGTCCCTTTCAATCCCGGTTTTTAATGCGTCCAAATCTGAGCCCGTATGCTTTTTTGGAGGGGGATTTCGTCCAACGAGAATTTTCATTTTTCAAATTGATGAATCCAGGTTGTGAAGTTTGTTCGAAAGGGTGCATCTTCGTTGTTAACCTCCACAAATTGGTGATTGATTTCAGTTGATCTGAGGTCAGATAGAAATACAAATAAAATGGTAGTCCAAAAATGGAAATTATTAGAGGCGAAAACAGTGGGCATATCTCACTGCACGAAAAGAGGAGAATGATCTCCGTTGGGGTGTAGACACTATTAGACCTCACTAGCATACTGATAAAACGACAACTTCGTCGCTTTTATCCCCTCCAAGAAAACGAAGTTTGAAAACAACATATCAAAAGTGAAAAGGACTTTCCGAACAAAACAATACACCAGGTCATGACCTAAAAAATCTAGGTCACGGCCCAAAAAATCCAGATAACGGCCTAAAAAATTAAGTCATGACCTAAAAAATCCAGGTCATGACCTAAAAAATCAAGGTAATGACCCAAAAAATCTAGGTCACTACCTAAAAAATCTAGGCCACAACCTAAAAAAATCCAGATCATGACCCAAAAAATCTAGACCATGACCTAAAAAATCCAGGTCACGACCCAAAAATCCAGATCACGACCTAAAAAATCTAGGTCATGACCTAAAAATCTAGGTCACGACCTAAAAAATCTAGGTCATAACATAAAAAATGTAGGTCATGACCCAAAAAGTTTTTTTGCTGGTTCGTCGATTCACTTCTCACGTTTAATTAAATTGCTATTCTACTGAATCAATATTTTTCAGATATTGGCAAAACTGCTCCGTAACACAGGAACAACCCGAATGGCGGCTGAAATCGAAGTTGCAAATGTTCTGAAGACTATGAACGACGATAGAGTAGGTGGTCATGACGATGTACAGCTCATTGCGAGAGGAGTGAGTTAGAAAGTGTTGAAATGAGTGATAGCGAGGAGATAACAAAACATGAATTGAAATTAAGATGTTGACATAATTAACTTTCAGTTCGAAATGGTAATCGAGGAAAATGGATTAAAAGAAGCGACATGGAGAATAATCTCTTACCTGGAAAAATATATCCATGCTCTTCATTATCATTATAAGGACGAAGAGAAATAATTCAGAGAATGATGCTTTCTTGTAGAGGATATAAAATGTTTTAATTTTCAAATGACATCCAAGAAGAACACCTTGTCAAATCATTATCAAACCAAAGTCATCAAAGTGATTGTATGAGAGAGAAATGACACAAAAATAAAAGAATCAAAACGAAAAAAGATCCCATTTCTCTTCATCTTCTCCTCTTTGCTTCTCACACCTTTTTCATGGAATCTCTCTCGATACCACACTATTTTTCAGTTTCAACAGATGAGCGTATCTATCAAGTCCCTTTCTTCTTCTTTTTATTCTTGAACTTCAAAAGAATTTCGCCGACAAGGATACAAAAAATAATTGATTACTGTACATCCACCCATTTTTCTTATTTCTCTTCTATTTAATTTATTAATGGCTTTTTTTCGTTATCATCGGAACCCAGAGGTTGAATTCGATTGCTGATTACTGTTGTAAATGTTTTCTTTAAAAGTATCTAGTTAGACACTGACCAGTTCAGATCTTTTCAAAGTTCAAAACTTTTGCGGCTTTCTTTTTTCAGACCTTGTAGATGATTGCCTTCATGGCCTTCAGTATGTTTCCAAAATATAAAATTCAAGGAAACACTGTGATTTTCAGATATTTGAGATCCAGATTGACGGTTTGGGCAGCTTTTTATTACATCAAATATGATAATTTTTGGATTAGATAATGGTTAAGTAGACCAGAATCAAAGTAACCAAGAGCTCAAAAATAGCAACATTGAATTCATTTTCTAGGGATTTCTTTTTTTCGGATTTCAAAACTTCTGAAAAAAAATCTGAAGGCAAGTTCGGAATCGTTTTATTTAACATTAAATTTGAAAAAAAGCAACAAATTGAAAACGAAGATTAGAAAAAGGAATCGGATCTTCCTTGAATGTATGGACGAATGTGTGGAAGAGACTCAAACACTTGACAGAATGTGCGAAGTTTTTCGAAATGAGCCAGATAGAAACTATCATAGCATTGTTGGCAACGAGTCAAGAACTCAACGAGAGCAATATCAGCCCAGGTGTACTGTAAAAATTTCATAAGGGGTTTTCGTGATTACATTCCCCCTACCTGGTTTCCAGTCAAGAATTTTTGCTCGCCGAGCAACTCTTCATACTTTCGGAGAAGGGGGAACAAGGATTCTTCCTTGAACACGTTCCAGCATTCCTTCTGAAATGAAAGTAGTGGAAGAAATTTCCAAAAACCAAACAATCTACCCTAGCATCATAGTTTTTGGTGATAGTGGCTCTGAGAATTGGATTCATCGCAGTATTCAACTCTTCCAACTTCTGAATCACCTCATCGACCTTCTCCTGATCAACACTGGAACTTCCATAAAGTCCTGAAAACTTCAAAACTGACTCAAAACTATTTTCAAAAATACAGACCATATTGAAGAGCAATGTGTCTGCAGATGTCGATGACACCAATAATTGTTCTTGTTTCGTTGATTTTCATCACTGGCAATTTAGTATCGTCGTTGAATCCCGCTGGAATTTTTTCGAGTTTTTTGATTTCCTTACTTCTTAAAACAAACCCATTTTCCTTTTGGCCTTCCATTGAGCAAGCGTCAAACGAGTATCAGTAAACTTTCTGTGAGTGAAGACCAATCTGAAGTTAAACTTTGAAAAAAAATTTTTTGAAAGTCAATTCAATGAATCCAAACATACAGCAATCTTATGGTCTCAGCTCTCCCTCTTCCAGGAAGAGATATTAATTCAAGCTTTGTTGGAGCTGCCATCGTTATCTGAAAGTATTACAATAAAACATCATAGTTTTTGTAATAGAAGAGCTTCCTGTAATAGAAGAGCTTCCACACTGTCATGTATGAACTCAATTATTTCAGTTCCTATGAAAGATATCAAAATTTTGTCAACTGAAAACACTTCTGATGTTATGGTAAACAATTTATTAGTTGACAACTTTTTTATATCTTTGACGGGGACCGATATAAATTGGTGCAATGTTAAAAGTTAGAGACCCTTCTATTAGAATCTATACAGTAACTAAAATATCTAGAAAAGTGCACGAAAAAATATGTAAAGTCAAGCTGAAAACAGAAGAAAACAGTAGAGCTTTTCGTAAAGAGTATGGAAGTTAGGGGGCGCCGATTGAGGCGGCGCCTCAACGAGCAAACATGGGCTCAAGTGTCTCTGTGTGAAAGAAGTTAACCGAGCACGGGTAACAATACTAGGGATTAAAGAAGAGAAAAAAAGAAAGAAAGAATCATTCTACTACCATTTATTTATCAAAAATAAACACATAAATAATATTTCATTTGTTCTGATGGTTACGAGTGGTTCTCTATATATCGAATTCAATAGATTACTTCTCTTTCTCTTCCATCTCAATCAACTTCTTCACACCGTCATACATCTGTTTCACAGCTTGGTACTCCGAAAGTCCCAGACGAGCCTGTAAAAAAACAATTTTCATTTTTTCGAAAGTTATTTGTTTGTTTTAGGAACGGCAAAAGGAACACACTATTTCTTTTCTTTCTACTTTTTGTTTCCTATTTACCTTGTTGGAAATATCATAGACTCCGCCAACCGATTCCGAATGTTCTCCGTGAATTCCACGGACTTGGAGGTTAAGTTTCTCGCAGATTTCAATGAAGTCTTTGCGAGCAGCGAGTTTTGGTAGAGCAATGTGAACCGATGCACGGACGGTGGATCCGAGATTCGTTGGGCAGAAGGTCAACCATCCGAGACGATCGTCACGAGAGAATGGAACCTGAAATAGGATACATATATAAACTATCCTGATTGTTTAAGAACTAGCCTGCTTCTCAATTCCACGAACTCCCTTGATAAGTCTGTCCAAAACTTTTCCAACATCTGATCCTTCTTGCATGGAGATGATTCTCATGTGATCCTCCTCATTCACCCAGATCAAGAAGGTCTTGTCGTTGTTGTGGAAAATTCCACGTCCCTTTGGCCAGAAGTTGCAGGCGTTGGCATACTGAAGATGTCTGTCTCCCTCCTTGAACAAGAAGTGATCAGCAATCAATTGTTTTTGAGTGTCTTTGCTCATTCCATCCAATGGATAGTATTTTCCCTTGAGCTCCTTGTCCGAGTATTCAGAGAAAGCCTTCTTCACCTTTCCTTCCATCTCAAGATAGTTGTCTTGAGTCAGACATGGATTGAATGGATATCCTTTCAATGAACGTCCACAACGAATTCTAGTCGACTTTATGTATTTTCCTTTTGGATCCAATGGTGGGAACTCCTTTGTCTTTCCTTCTCCGAGATCAACTGGTGGTTGTTTTTGTTTTGGAGTAAATCCGTGGTACTCCTCAATAATCTTGTCGAAGAGTGGAGCGAAGAGAGTGTATGCTTCAGCATCTGGAGCATAAACTCCAACTCCAGCATCCAAATTATAAACTCCCGAACGGATGCAGTCGTAGAGAGTGGCTCCAAGATTAGTCTTCTTTGTCTTCAGTTTGTCGACGACATCCTTCGTCAGATGTTTCTTCAAAAGAGATTTGCACTTGGCTCCTTCTGGACCGTTCAGCTTAGCATAGGCCTCTTCGATCTTCTTGATGGTAGCAGAATCAACCTCAGACTTTGCTTGGATTTGCTGAAAATTCAAAAAAATATAAAATCTCCAATATTCAGATTTTCACCAAGGATTTCGGGGGCTCTTCCCTGAAGGAACTCCACCAAGCTACAAGTTGATCCCAATACTCCTGATAATATGAAAGATGATCGAATTAATCGAGTACTTTCAAGTATTATCGAGTAATGGAACCACTGCAGTGGTTGCTAATTCAGTGATTGCATTTCTTACCTGTGGAGTGAGGGTGTAGAGAGCAGATCCGGCTCCGAGAGCAGCGAGAACTCCAGCTACGTAACGCGAGTTGGTGGAACGGAGAAATTGCGATGCCATTTCGAGAGAGAGTTGATTGAGAGGAGAATTCGATTCTCCGTCGCGGAATAACCACTCTGCGATTTATAATCAACTCGTCAATATTTTAAACACGTGGAAATGAAGTAGAATTAACGTATTCATTAAAAAATCGATCACGCAGAAATTATGAAAAAATATCTGACGAAGAGGAACGCGGGAGACCGTAGTAGAAGGTCCCACAGCTACAGTAACCTAAAAATTTTTCGGGATTTAATATCTCGATTTTCATGCGTTTTCAGTCGAATTGTTTCACTATCTAATCAAATGACATTTTTTCCGACTTTTTTCCAAAAATCAGTTAATAACGAGGAAATAAATCTTGAAAATAAAAATATTTTTAGGTTACTGTAGTTGTCGTTGTGGGACCTTTTGTCACGGCCACAGGCGTTCCTCTTCCACAACCCTTTTTACAAGAATAATATTGTGAATGAGCTTGTTCTCAGGGAACACAATAACACTTGAATGCAGCTCTGAACAATTGGAAAAAACGAATATGAAAAGAAGTGAAAATTCTCGTTTCGAACCGCCCATTTTCTCGTTTGAAGGGATGAAAATCGGGGTAGTGGCTCGGAAGAGCAGAAGTAAACGTGCAAATGGAGGAAATCGTTCCCAAAAGTTGTTTGTATTTCGAAGAAAAAGACGAAAAGATAGTTTTGTAAACAGTTTGGTTTCGAAAGTTCTATTTTAATAATCTGATACTTTTCTCAGTTATGATACACATTTAATTACTCGGCGGAATGTCCATGATAATGTTAAAAGACAGTAATCTAAAATTTGGAATACCAATCTTGAGATAAGGTTCAAATAGGAATCATGAAGTACAAAACATAACATTCACAAGAAATTGAGTTTGAAAAATCATACTTGTCATCCGGGCCTTTGCCGGGCCTTCGCGGGCCCTGCCATAACTTCTTTCAGAATCAATTTTTTCGAACCAACTCAATCAGATATGATAGAGCTCCACGAGTACTACAAAACGGTATCATTTAGAATACTGTACCGTGTCTATGAACAGAGTTACAGAGGAAAAGGAACAAAAAGAGTAGGCCCGGCCCGGGCTTGCCGGGCCCTGCGAGAAAAGTCACTTTATGATCTGTAACTTTGTTCATAGTAAAGATATAGTATTCCAAATAATACCTTTTTGTAGTACTCGTAGAGCTCTATCATATCTGATTTACATGGTTCAAAAATATTGATTCTGAAAGAAATTATGGCAGGGCCCGCCAAGGCCCGGCAAAGGCCCGGATTACAAGTATGCGAAAAATGATTCCTGTAGATCCAGATAAAAGTGGGACGTGAGAAAGAGGAAAAAATCTAAAAATGACGTTCGAATTGACCGCCCGAAACGTTATCATCCATCGGTTGCCTCCTCTCGTCAGGCCGCCTCTTTCTTTTTTTCGCATTACACAAGAGAACTTTCGGTCACATAAACAAGATGCCGCCCGTTCAAACAATCAACAAAAACACAAAACTGATTTATCGTTAATTCAATACAAATTCAATTAGCCCCATTAAATATGTACAGTACCGCTCAAAAGAATTTTAAATTTACTTAATTTCAACTGGAATTATTATTTTAGTACAAAAAATGGAGCTGTGAAAGAGAAGCACCGGAGGCTGTTGCCAAATGTTCCACAACGACAACTACAGTAACCTAAAATTATTATTCATTTTTCGAATTCATTTTGTAGTCTTAAGCAGTGAAAAACGAGAAAATGAATCCGGAAAATAGAAACAATTTCGACTCTTGTCGGTTATTTCGGTCTTTAGAATTTTTTAAAAAATGAAAGAAATTTAGGGGACACTTTGGATACCGCCCTCGTAAGACTAAAAGCTGAAAATTAATATAGATATTTAAAAGTTTTCTAATTGTAAGGGCGAAAAAGTTCTAAGAACCAAAACAAAAATCTAACAAAGGACCAAAAAAAGTTTCAAGAATCAAAATAACCGAAAAGAGCCAAAATTTCTAGTTTACTGTGGTTGTCGCTGTGGGACCTTCGATCACGGCCACCGGCGTTTCTCTTCCACGGCTCCGGTTTTTTGGATAAATTCGTACAGAATAATTGACAACTACAAAATCGAATATATTTTTGCTTTGGAATGCCTGAACACTTTCATACCAATATAATACAATATATTCTTTCAGGCACCTAAAGATGGTTAATTTTGAACTGAAAATATGACAATCGGTACAGTATAAAATCTCTTCATTTATAACAACATAGTACAAAGTAGACAAATAAAACAATTTCGAAATAAATTGATTTAGATGCGATTTGTGAGTTCTGCTCTCACTTCATGTTCTCTTCCTCTAATGAAACAGAACCACACGGCATGACAGTAAGAAGGTAGAATCAGGAAAATGTAAAGAAGAATGTTTAGACAAACGTAGCTGGTGCATCCACGGGATTTGAAGAAAACAGCCAATGGCTGAAATTAGTTTTAGGTTGAGAACTCTACTGTTTTACAGTCTCATTGTGGTTTAGTTTCAAATAAATACACTTCTGATTATATAAATGAGCTTTTAACAAAATGGATTCATCCAAGAATCACAGCATGTTTCATATTCTAAAAAAGAAAATTTGTCATTCTTACCGGAAGAAAAATGAGCAAGATAACCATGATGAGACGGTCGTTATCAGTCTCAATGTATCCATTCTTCGTGTCAACCGACACCACAGTCATTCTCGAATTTTGAGAGAAATTTGTTCAATTTGGATGTCAGAAAAAAAAGCGATGTCGATTTGACGAGTGGCTCAGTCACTCTCTAAATATCTACATTTTTTCGTTCCATTATTTGCTATTGTCTGATGACATTACTCCGCCTACTTTAGTCTTTTTTTGTGTTCCTTTACTATTTTCTCCCCGAGCTATTTACCAAGTTCAAAATGTCTTCTTACAAGTTGTTTGTTTCTAGGGAACATTGACAGAAAATTTTCTCCTTGAAGGAAGAGTTGGAAAAATTGAAAATATTTATGATTTTTGGTGTCGATGCCCCAAACAGTAAGAGATCGTAAACCAGTTTCTGGAAGAAATTCTGGAACTTTTGACTTTTTAGAGCTCTTGAGGGATCGTGATGAAACTTGCTAATGCCAGTTGGACACCGAATTTAATACTAAGATGGTCCTTATACGAGCTAGAACACTGAAGAAGCAAACGAATTTTTTTTTCTGAAATTAGGACAACAGAGAATGGTATAACAGACAATAGCTAATGAGCGAAAAGTAACGCATAACAATCCAGTATTAGTCCAAGCGTTTGCATAGAACATGAGTATTTGCCCAAAATCACTATTTCAAATACCGTATTCGTAATTCTGCGTATTTTTTCGTTCTGGACCCTCTGAATTGGTTTTTTGTCTAGATTTGGAAAAATTTATACATTTCTTTGCTTTATTTATTACATTCCGGATTACGAGATTTTTTTCCCTGGATTCCGGCTTCAAGATTTCAAAAGTTTTTCTGAATTGTGGTTTAATCGTGAAGTCTGAATTGCCAAACCGTATGATTTTTTTAAAGGCGCAACGACTGATTTGTAATTGCGCTGCGTGACAAACAAAACGGCAGTTTGCGCCTTTAAAACCGTAGTTGGATGAGCTCAAAAACATACTTGTAACGGGCCGGGCCGAGCTTTTTCCGGAATTTCGGAGGCCCGGCCCGGCGGGCCCGTCATTTCACTAGTTTCGAAATTTTCAAAAAACACATAAGGGTGGACCCTTATGTGATTTTTTTCGACAAAAAAAATTTTTTTTCGAGTTTTTCGATCTGTTTTGATCAGACAGACAAACAATCCGAAATACGGAAAAAAAATGGAAAAAATTATATTGAGAGCTCAAAATTTGACTCAAAAATACAGAATTTTTGACACCGGGCCTTCCGGGCCGGGCCCGGGTCTTGAAAATTTCCTCAGGCCCGGGCCCGGGCCCGGAATTTTACAAGTATGCTCAAAAACCATGTTTTGCAGGTTTTTTTTTCAGTTTTTCTTTCAATATGTCCTTTCCTTTAGGGGTTTATTCACCAAAATGTAGAAAAATTCGGAGAAATGGAGAAAATTTCGCAAAACCGCGGAGAATGAACCAATCTCGCTGAAATTTCGGAGAAAATCGGAGAAAATTATAGAGAGCATATTCACAAAATTTTGGGTCAAAATATCCACGTTGACCATTTTGTCTGAAATTCCAGCCAAAACTTCAAAGTTAATTTTGCGACCCCAAATTTTGTGAATATGCTCTCTATAATTTTCTCCGAAATTTCAGCTAGATTGGTTCATTCTCCGCGGTTTCGCGGAATTTTCTCCATTTCTCCGAATTTTTCTACATGTTGGTGAATAACTCCATTATCAGAAATGCTATTCTTTTTTCAACTTTTGCTCATTTTAACTCATAATTGTTTCTGCTATTCCCATTATTCGAACGTTATCTCTATGCTCAACCGCCCGTCTATTATTATAACTATAAAGTGTGAACGATGAAGAGAAATAGAGAAATAGAAATGGCAGGTGTACGTATTACAAGACAGCCGTTCCTCAAACAACTTGGGAGAGAAGATAATGAACACTAGGTTCTTTCGAATTTTGACCTTCTTTTGAATATTTGATTACTTCGCAAAAAAAGTAAACTGGATTTTCTTTCTCCTTTTCAAAAAGCAGATTTCTAAAGTCATATCCAACTCAACGACTTCTGTCAAGTACTCAAGATTCTTGACGACTTTGCACTTTTTGTTCTCTTCAGTTTCTCGCAACTGCTGACACTACCGCTTTTATGATCATTCCCACTAGCCTTCTGCCTTCTTTTCGTTTGGTGCACAGCTTCGGAAATGCCGATTCTTTAGTTAGTTGTCCGTATGAAAATAGGTAAAATTGTAATCTACGGGATCATCAATTCAGTATTTTTGACCTGAAAACAGTTTGTTTTCTCCGCGTGCTTTAAATACTTCACTCGTGATTTTTTGGTCTCCCATCTTTTTTTCTCTCCACTTTTTTGTTTAATAAATATCATCAACAGAATTTTTAATTGTTTTTGATTTTGATCCATCTTTAGAATTCGCATAAAAACGGAAACTTTTTGACATAGGTATCATTTTTCACTGCTGCAAGTTTGAACCTTTTTCCATGCATCTTTATGCATTTCAGTAGATATCATTAGATCCCAATATGCATTTGTAATATATGTGAATCGTTGAATTTATCAGAGCGTAACCATAATTCGTTGAAAAACTGGATTTTTAGTGGTTTCGTGCCTAGCAGGAAGTTTAATTGGTTTCGAAAGAATAATAATAGTTTCTATGAGTTAAATATCAAATAGAAAAGTAATCTCGACTCATAATTTTGATCGTCTTGAAGATCTTATGGGGTTATTCATGAATTATTTTCCAAACACAGAAAATAAATTGAAAAACAGCTGTCGATTTCGTTATAGTGCTCGATATCAAAGCTAAATTTATTGGATCCCTGATTTCTTTTCATAAATTTATTTTGTAACTCTGATATCCCCGCTACATTTTCCTCCTTCATTTTTTTCCATGTCCATTCTCCGGTGCCTGCGACCCCCCGTGACCGTCTTTCAATGACTGCGTCTCACTTGCTTCTCCTATTCCCCAATCTTCTGTTTATCTCTAAACTCTCCGAGTCCCTCGCCTTTGGGCGCCGAATCAATGAACACCTCGGGAATGCAGAGACAGCAGTCGACAACAGCAACAGCCCGTTTTGTGCATGACCCAATCATCATTCACTGAGAACAAAAAAAAAATAGAATCCTTCCGTGCGTTCCCAATTTCACATAGTTTTCTTTAGTACCCCGACGCACGCTGTCGCCATTCATTAATCCTTCGTTATGTAACCTCGACTCTCTTAATGAGAAATTCCATTCTTATTTTCATTAGTAAGCTTGTCTAGGAAAAGAAGTATATGTTATTTCCTGTTTTCCGCAAAAGTTCTGAATGTGAGCATTGATTTGCCTGAACCTCTGAAATCGAATGGAAACAAAAGTATGCAATAAAGTTAGTTCGAGAATAACAATACCAACAAACAACTGTTTTCATACCTTGTTTTCATCATTATTATTCTCAGTAGTCTCTTATGATTCCGACTACCTTTTTGCTTATCAATTTCATAGCATTTCAACACTTTCTTTTTAATGTCCATATGACATATTGATAATCGATTTACCCGCACGATTTATTTGTAATTTACAGAACGCTAACGGGGGATAGAAGTTACTATTGCGACATGGGTGGTCGACAGTCATCAGTCACCGAAGAAAGACCTCGAAGTAACTCGGTGGATACTGCGCAGGTAAATTTTACCGAGAATTACATTTTAGAAAAGTTTTCATCAATCAAATGTTCACAGGTTTCTTCGCACAATTCGTCGTCTCAAAGACCAAACGTTATGACAGCCGCAGAGTTCATGCAGGTAGCAAAGGACACTTTTAAGGTTACTAAATCGAGCAATATTTCAGACTATGCGTAATGCCCGTTTTTTGAGTTCTTCTTCAGATTCAAATGCTTCTGAAGACGACGCTGGTCCATCACATTCAAATCATGGAAGGTACTAAACTTTGTTATACTCGTAATATATATTTTATTTCATTTCAGTCGCTCTCGAGGTGTCCATTCTCGCCCAGGTCGTCTGCATGGTCATCACAGTCGTCGATCGGTTCCCGTCTTTATGATGGGTAGGCCTGGTTCTCTGAATCATGGAATTATTCATTTTTGATGTGATTTTTTCAGATATGAAATGCCCGGTATGCCACAAAGTTGTTCCTTCCGATGATGCTGATATCCACTTGGTGATGTGCTTGACAAGACCTAAAATTACGTATAATGGTGAGATTTGGTTTTTAAAAATGTATGGACGGGACAAAAACCTTTCGAAGGCAGAGATAAATCACTCCCATGTACACCAACCTTCTTCGCGCACGTTTGAAGCTAAGCACCAATTGAAAAACATAAATTTTTTTGGCTGCAACTTTATTCAGAATATAGATCATGGCTTCAAAAAACATTATTTTGAATAAGTTCTAATCCGAAAATGACCAGAAAGAATGTTTCGACAATTAATTTTTCTGTGATATTAAAAATCAAGGCGGTCGAAGGTACCTGAATTCAAGATTCCTGATAGCCGCTAAGTTAAGAAAAACCTAAAATCCTACTTTAATATTTTAGGAGCCGTCACTTGGGTCCAAGGCAAGGGGTCAAAAAACGCGCCTCAAATAACTTTTAGGCCAGAAGAAATTTAATAATTTCAAAGTTGACGTGGATTTGACATAATTAATTTGAATCAACGAGTTGCAACGCGTGATTTTTCGCCCAACGTTTAAACGTTTGATCTTCAGCCACACAATTCAGAAGCGATTTTTTTCTAAAATCTAACGTTTACTGGGGCGCGATTTCTGACCCGTTGGCTTGATCCCAAGTGAGCCGTTTTAAACGGAGGATTTCTCTTTCTCAAAGTTCTAAATTCAGCAAAAATTCGAAATTGCGTGCCAAGAACTAATTTAGAGCACAAATCGGTGCTTCACGGTGTTTCAAATCAACGGGTCGAAAATCGCGCCCCAGATAACTTTTAGGCCAGGCGAAATTTAATAATTTCAAAGTTGACGTGGATTTGACTTATATATTTTTAATCAACGCATTGCAACTCGTGATTTTTTCGCCTAACGTTTGAAAGTTTGATCCTCAGTCACCGAAAATTTGACACAGACCCTTCTCACGCTAATCCAGACATCAACCATTGAACCATTCGATAGATATTTTCTATGGTTTGGAAAATTCCAGTTTTTTAAACCCAAATTTAGAAGCTATTTTTCCCGAAAGAATATGTTGCTTGGACTATAACAAACTCTCAAACCTTGAAACGTAGTTGTTCATGTCAGATGTCTATAATTCGCCCAGAGAATCAGAACATTTAATATTCGTTGCAGATGATGTATTGAAAGATGCCAAAGGAGAGTGTGCCATTTGTCTTGAGGATCTCGAAGCGGGCCATAAAATCGCGCGATTACCATGTCTCTGTATTTATCACAAACAGTTCGTTTATCAAACCGTTGTTCGCTACAAAAAGTAATTCAATTTAGGTGCATCGACGATTGGTTCAAGAGGAAAAATTGCTGCCCAGAGCATCCTGGCGATGACTAAACTTCTCATTGTTTTATTTTTCTTTTATTGAATTTCTTTCTTTCAAAATCGTTCTGTTTTAAACCTGATTCGACACAAATCATGGGTGATTATGTTCGTTCTTTTTCAAGTTTTTCTGTGTTTCGTTTCTCCAATGTTTATTCTTCAATTGTCCCCGTTTTCATACTTTTCTGGTTTCCTGCGCCCACATGCATCCCGGGTTTCCCTTCCGCTACTCATGTTTAATTTTCAAGTCTCTGTTCGTTAAGTTATACATTTTTGTATCGCTGTACATTTTTCCGCACGAAAGTAAACTGTTTTTGATCGCTCTTTCTCCGTCAGAATAAGGCGGACTCGTTGCAACCTAATGAACAATCTAAATTGTCGAAAAAGTCTCTTCTCAAGCTGCGATTCCTTGATGGACGGATTAACCACAAATAAATTGTATTATTTGCAAGTTCAAAGTCTTTCATAAGCTAAAGTGGTATAGTTGAATAATGTGTGTCAAAGAATGGAAAGTGTACAATGCAAGAAAGAGATTGGGGAAAAAATTAAAGCAAGAAAATGAATGTCAGCGTTATATTTCATAGACTAGTAGTAATTATAAGTAAGTGATTATTATTTTAGAGGATGCGATAATTTGAACGATTTGAAATCATGACAGAATGTTTGAAAGATACTCGTCGTACTTGAGAATTATTCGTTTCAGGCTGTGAGCCATCTAGTTCTTTGCCTCATCCTGATTTTTTGTGCAGACCAAGTCAATGTCGACTGATATGGACACATCGTCCTGATTGGTGGTTTCTTCAGTCGTAGTTGGTGAATCTGCTGATAGATGGACGCGTTCAGCATGCTGTGGAGCTGGCAGCTTTGGCTCAGTAACAGTTTGGAACCAGTGTACGTAGTGTTGCATAAGGAGATCTGTAATTCGTCTGAATTGCATGAACACAGATAAGAAGAGAGCTTAGAAAATTTGGCTCAGGGAGAGAAACGGAGCTGGTCGTGGCAGTAGGCCCGGAACGAAAACTAATGCAACCTAACGTTTCTGCTTTCCTTTTTTATTCGATTTTCATTTTCTCCAGCAAGCTTTCGCCTATTAAAGACCTTCTTTTTTTTCTGATCTGGTACCACTACAAATGGTTTTAGCATTTCGATGTTCTTGAAATAAAATGCATGCCAAATAAACATTTCATTCCGAACATATTTACAGAAAGTTTGATTTACCGGCGGTTGCTCCTGACAGCACGTCTCCTTCGCCAATTTTATGCTCATTAGTAACCTCCTCCTCGTTTGCGGTGGATCTCTGTAAAATTTACAAGTTTCCTAGAATCTATTTATGCCTTACTATTCCGAACGAGTTGATCACTCTCCATGGCCAGTTGCATACGGAAATAGTCTCGATAAGTCGGTCAACGCCAACCTTTTCCATGTGCTCTTCGGCATCTAAGAGTTGTTCCTGTAAACACATTTTGTAACAAGAATGGCGCGCCTTAAACAGACCTCGTTTGGTTGCATGTATACAGTTTCGAACTCATTGCTGTTGGCGAAGCTTTCCACTTGTTCCGCATCGGGACAAGTTTCCAATGAATTGACAATGACAACCTAAAATGTTCCGCAAATTCAACTAGACTGAGGATTATTAATACCCGAGTGTCTGCTTTAATTTTGTCAGCGACATCCTTAGCTTCCTTCAAGTAACTTATCGATTTGTATGCATGGAACATGCACATCATGCTGGAATTGTTAGCTTCGAAATCTTCGACGACCTCGCTAAGAGTTGAGAATGATTTGATCCCGAACTTTGCAGAATAGTAACTGCAACAGTCAACTTAAAAAATGAACAATATCTTTAAATATTACTAATTCTGAATGTAGTAGCAGTTTTCCACTCCTTCGATAGTGTTCAGCTGTGTATTCAAGCCTCTTCTGATCTGAAATATCTTGTTGCTTGACAAAAATGGCAAGGTCAACTACCGCTCCGTCATCATCTCCGACAAGAACAAGGAACTGCTTAGGAGGTCCTTTACAAACTGTAATCGGATTGCCTGCCATCTGAAAAACCAGAAACGCCAATTTACTACATAATCCACTCAATCTACTTGCTCTCAGACGATTGTGTACGAAGATAATTTCACTAAGTAGAAAAAAGGAAAATAAAAATAACAGTTTATTGAACAACAACAACAGAATTAATAAACTCTTTGTGGCTTGCCCATGGTGGACTTGATGTTCAAAGATCTGACGTTTTGCCAGTTCTTCTTCAAGAGCGAGACCAAGAAGTTGATCGAGAGCGAAATGTTGGAAACGAGCTCCTCTTGAGAGAGACCAACATGTCCGACAGCGACGGAGAGGCAGAGAACCTGGAAATGATTGTCAATATCAGAAATGAACCCAGAAAAGTCAAGCTCACCTTCTTCATCTGGAACTTGACGGTGGCGCGAATCTCGTCAGATTTGCTTTGGAGGGATTCGGCGTGGGTGACGACGGAAGGGAACTTTCCGGCCTTGTTAAGCCCTGGACCGAGAATACGTGGGATCTGCTTGATCAAAGACTCGGAAGCGATGAAGGCATCGTAGCTCTTTGCGAGTTTCTTGATGAGCTTCTTCTGCTTGTTAAGCTTCTTCAAGTCATCAGCGCTCATAGCTGGGATGTTTCCGGCAGCAGCCTCGTCAAGATGGTGTTGATCTCCGAAGACGCACACCTTCATGTTTGGGCGTGGAATGTGCTTCAGTCTGGAATGAGAGATTTACTAATAGTACGGCCAACAATCACGAAGATATCGCATACCAGTGCGTGACTTAAATTCAGAGCGGCTTTAAATAGCCTACCCTAAAGTTTTAAGACCCTGGGTAAGAGTCCGTCAGAACAATTGTTCTAACTCCCTGCTAAGACAGGTCGTAGCTACCTGATGGATCCGCTGAAACGCTTGTCCTTCTGTGGGTCGTAGTTCTTGAGTCCAATTTGGAGCTCGATAGTCTCACGGAACTTGCGTGGCTTCTCCGTAGATCCCTTGAGGACCTCGGCGACAGCCTCATTGAGAGACTCGCGGGAAACCTTCGACATTTTACCCTGAAAGAAAAAAACTGTGTTGCGAAAGATGAAAGTAAAGAGCTTTGTGAAAGAAATAAGCTTCAACGGAATCAGGATATACATGTTCAACGCAATGTGCGAAAAGAAAATAAAAAAGTTTAGGGCAATTGAAAAATTGAGGAGACACAGCGCGGCAACAACTGTTACCGTACCCCTTTCGTGACGAGGGACAAACCACTGCAAAACTACATGCGCCTTCATCGTGGCACCTCCCACTTTGGCCGTTTCAGGTCGGTTATTCCTTCAATTCTCATTACCCTCCATCGTTTATCAGTCTTCTGACCCTGTCAATCAGTACTTGTATAAATTGATAAAATATCCACTTGTTCCCTCTCTATTGCGGTGTCCGGTATGTAGGTTAGATGTCGCTCAAACGCGCGTCTCGGTGCCAGGCTGGCCGCAACGCGACCGCAGCGCGTGCCAACCAATCGGAGAGTATGCTGTGTCCTACATTGATTACCCAATATTTTACCATACCTTACCGTTCCGAACTGTCTCTTAATTGTGATACACTCATCCCTATTCAATTAAAGTTGTATTATTTTCAGAAAATGGCACCCAAAGAAAGCGAGAAGAAGGTCATTCAGGAGAAGATTGCAAAGGTCCGTGAAGTTGTTGATAATGTAACTAATAACGATATCATCATGGTTCTCCATTCTTTCGACCTGGATGTCAACAAAACCATTTCAGCTTTCTTGGAAGGTGAGTAGTGTGTTTAGATATTTGGTTTGGACAGTCAGTGTATGAAATATACATCCAATTATGCTTGTCTGAGAAAAAAAAAGTTAGAGAGTATTTTTTGCAGTCTGAATACGGTAGCGATATCGAAGCGGAGAGCCTAAATAGCACACAAACGGTGGAGACGCAGACACTTTTTCTCTGCGTCTCAACCTTTTTTTTCTCAGACAAGCATAATATTAGTTAATTTTTTTGTTTTTTGATCCAGTAATTATTTTCAGATGGAGCTTCTAGCATTCTCGGGGGATGGACTACATCTAGCGGAGTCAGTGTCACAGCAGCAAAGAAGAAAAAGAACAAGAACAAGAAAACGACTGAAACGGCTGCACCAGTATCCACCCCTACTGTTCCAGCGCCTATAAAGACTGCTCCAGCTCCAGTTGTCGCTGCTCCACCCTCTTCTTCGGTAACTAAATCTGCTGCGGCTCCTAAAACAGTCGGTGAGTATCTTAAACGAAATAATTTAATTTTCACATCGCGACTTTTAGCGAGCGCTCCAGCTCCTACTGATGCCCTCTCTGCTGCATTCAAGTCTATTCGGCTAGCTTTGAACGAACGAGAGAAAGAATTGAAGCATGCAAACGCTACAGAGATCGATGCATCTGCGATTCTCAATGCAATCGCTTCTATTGGAAGATCCTCCAAATCTACTTCCAACGGAAAGCCAGCCTCGAAACCAGCCAAGCAAGCTGCATCTCCTCCTCCAGCCGGACCTATCAAGCATGCTACCAGCCAGTCTAGTATCACATCATCTGTTGGGGCGGATTCAGGAGTCAACCTTAGCCCAACACACAAAGGTTGGGTCAACTCGTTTTTTTGTGTAATGAAAAATATTATTCCAGAAGAGAAAAAAGCGGCTCCGAAGACAGTTGTCAACTCTGGCGGAGTTCAGCTCACGTCGTCTGGTCTCAGTGCTGATCAGCTGGCTGCCCTCCAGCAAACTCTTCAGCTTACCATGGCTGCTCGCGGGCTTGATGCCTCTCTGCTCACATCTTCGGAAAACGTACCACGTAGACCGAAGAATAACAACAACAACAAATCATCGACTGATGGCAAGAAGGGCAACAAAGGAGCCCAGAAGGAACAGCCAAAGTTGTCTATTTTGTAAATTCCTTCCATTCCATTTTAACTACCCCCCCACCTCATACCTTTCCTATTCAAGGAACTCTCGCTCCTTGTATTGTGAATCGTAATCCGGCAAAGTGCATCTTCATTTTCTGTGATTGGAATTGATAAATATAGTATTGAAAGTGAGTGAATATATTCACAGCGCTTGTAATTATATTCTTCTATAACTTATTTCGTTCTTCTCTTCCCCTTGGTTTCGCTTAAATTTTAATATCCTATTCTATTCTGCACCCCTCCTTGAATTTTTATATATACATATACATATATCACACAAGAGGCCTTATTTGTTGTACGCGGGAGACATCAGAGTTTTTGTTCTTCGTATTTTTCGTTAGTAATAAAACCACTTTATGGGAGTATTGAGGTGTCCAAAACTGTGATTAAATTTCATAAATGGTTTTCTTTTCGTTTTTTTTTTCGCATCCATCTTTTCTTCATTAATAATGTAAAATAAATCAGAAAAATTTGTATGTCTGCTTCCTGCTAGATAGCAACGTCTCCTTGACGATCGTAATAGGACAAACATCGAGAAAGCATTTTTTAAATTACGGTTTGTTCTTGTTTTTCGGCCATAGCCATTTTTTTGATCACATCGTGTTTAAAATCAGTATAATTTTGATCGGATTTCAGAATTTTTTTTTAAACTGGCTTCGAAAAAAAAAATTATATAAGCTTTTATTTCAACCACATACGTTTTCAGATGAGACAGCGCTTCTTCTTTTCATATTCCGAAGATATCAGAATGCTCAAATGGGTCGTTAGGTTTATACCGTCTTATTTATTTAAGCCTGACATCATATATTTCAGAAACGAACCGATTAAGCCTCTTGGAACTTCGATTTGGAGTTATTACATCGAAACCTATAGAAGTGATCACACTGTTCAATCACTTGTCGGCAGGTCCATCATTAGTCCTCCTTCTATATAGGAATCTAAAACTTTTTTGCAGAATGCGCCGTAATGTTATTCCGAATATGGATTTCTATTTGAAGAAAATGAAAACAGATGAAAAGATCGCACTGTTGAGAATTTTTGGACAGCGAATAGACAATCAGAAAAGAACAGTGTTCGTTTTATAATTTACAGAATGCGGGGAAAATTGAAAATTTCAGTATTCGGAACTCGATTCTGGTATCTCAAGATTCTACAAACCAAACGAGAAGAGATCAACGAATTCCAAAAACTGTTCTGAACTGTAATCCAATCTCCAATCATGACAAGCAATGGTTCATCGAGGAGCGAACGAATATTGCATCTCATCAAAGATCGACTACAAAGGAAGTGGTTAATCTGCATTCAACGAAAGATGACCAGCAGAATAACGATATTATAGAAGTTGAATTAGTCCAAACGGTCTCTAAAAGAAACAATCGTGTTTTCTCGATGAACTCCGATTTCCGCACCGAAAAACAAGCAAAAAGGTAGTCTCGAAAATGTAATCGTATCATTGAATGCATTGCTACAATTTTAGAACGTTTTGTCCGAAAACTTGGTACTTAGAAATGATGCCGGCCGCCAGACAAGGCGCGATTTCGATCCGGAACATGCTATGTCGTTCGAATCAGATGAATCAAGTTTCCGAAAGTTTGCGAAACATTAATAAGATTCTTCTTTTCAGAAACGAACTCATTTCTCAGAGGGAATCCAACTGGATGAGCTTTTTGACAAGATGCTCATTGTTCCTAAAAATATGAATGCTCCCCTTATCAGTACAAGATCTAGTATCTTGAAAGCTGCAAGAATGAGATACCACTTCAAAATGTTGAAGGAACTTCGACAGTTGGCTGTCAATCCACATGTTCGATCAGCTGTGTTCATGTACTTCCAATACTTTGAGTACTATATCAGTTTCTACGTGTCCGATGTAAATGAACCGCAGTGATAAATGCTAATCAGGCAGTTTTTTCAGATATTGGAAACGTATGCCGAAGTTATGAATCTTCTTTTTCAAGTTTCCATCAAACTAGCGACGTTGTGAAACTGAAGGATCAAAAGGAAATCAATATATAATAATTCACTTTTTTGTGCATCCCTTTTCAGAGATCTCATTCCACTCCACCGGTAAATCATTCGGGTCTCAACGAACTTCAGTATTACTCCTGTTCTATTATTTCGATAATTATCTTGTATCATTTTTGCGAATTTGAACACTTTTTTGTTTTGAATTTTGTTTTTATTTGCATTGAAAATAAATATACTCCACAGGTTAGAAAAAACTATGGAACCAGAGTTGCTCCTTGTCTTGGCACAAAGTTGTCGTAGTACATCGACATAGCCTCTGTCATCAAATTTTCCGTACACATTGGTTCAGTGCCGATCACTCTGGCTGAAAAAACGCGTTTATGAGTGTTTAGGCAAGTGGTTAGGCTCACCAGGATTTCCAGCGATTGTGGAAAACGGAGGAAAAACAGCATCCGGTGAAACTACGGTATCTGGCAGAACACGGGAACACTCACGAATTACACATCCGTTTCCCAAGACAGCACGAGCTCCAAGATGAACAAATGCAAAGATTTGAGCTGCATTCACTATGCAATCCTAAAAACAATTCTCGCATTCTCTATTACTTTAAATTGTAGACTTACTTCATCAATATATACATAATCACCAATAATCACATTACACATGGTTGGTTTCTTACTGAAAATTTTCAAACATGGCCGAATATCGCAACGGGCTTTCAAGACACAAAATTTTCCAATTTTCACAGTAGCCAGGTCTCCACGAATCGTCACACCTTCTTCAATTAGTGTCTGAAAATAAATGAAGTGTTTCAAAATCACATCTTCAAAACAACCTTTCCCGCGATCACAATATTCTGTGTTCCAGCAATTGCATGTTTCTTGTTCACTTTGTTTCCTGTATGCGTTTTTGCCCATTCTGTTTCATTGTAATACACAATTGGAAGATCCATCTAAATCAACAACACAAATTTAAAAAGTTAGTTCTTCTGATAATTTTCTCCAATATACTTGAATGTGGTAAGATTCCACCAAACAGAATAAGAGTAAAAAGAACGATTGAAATTTGAAATCTTTATTTTGGATCCGAGAATTACCGAAAATTATCGGGCGAATAAATTAAAGCAAAAGTCATGCAACAGAAAACTTAGAAATATGTTGGAATAATAAAGACGGGAATCAAGAGTTTGGGAATATCGGGGAAAAGAATGGAAATAAATACATAGATGAAAACGAAAATCGCCCATAAAAGTGAAATGATTCGAGGAGAACATATTGAAGAACATCTTAAGTAAGAGCACCAAAGACTGGATTGTAACGGCAAATCGATGGACCTTTTTCCATGTATTCAGCCTTGCTGTGTGAGACTTGGTAGAATTCAGACTGAAAAAAATATACGAAATATTCGGTCATGAACACGAAAACTCACAGTAGAAGCAAGCATAGATCCTCCAAACCAAACAGCGTACCTCTGCATTTTGTGCGAAATAACTTGCACATCAATCGGTTTAGGCTGGAAATAAACTTTATCATAATGATAATCTGTTACTCAAAGTACCTTTAATCTGCCTCCGCTCAGTGTTTCGCTCATCTGAAGTCTCGCATCGCTCAGTCTTTTGACATCACGCTGCAACTTCCTGGCGAAATCCTTAAACATTGTCGATCCTCCAGAAAGTACAATGTTTTCATAAAGACCACGACGAACATCAATTGGACACTGTTGAATCAGCGTATCGATAGTGTCAGATATTGGAGTAGTGAAATCAGGATTGCAGAACTCGGGATGGAAGAAAATTTCTGGTCCTAGGAAACGCTCGTATCCGACATCTACGCTGAATGGTCTTTTGGTGATTGAGTTGATACCGTCATAAGTACGAAGCCATTTCGAGGAATCTGTATCGTATTTCACAAATTCCTTCATAACATCCGGACACACGTAGCAGAACTTTTCTTTGATAGTTTTGGCAACTTCATAGCTCTGTTCCGCAGGAATAGTGTGCTCGCGTTCTCTCAACAGATTTTGAATGAAGTAGGTGATATCACGACCAGCGATTGGAATGTGTTTGATGCAGGAGCCAATGACATATCCATCCGCAACTGGAATACAATGGGTCACACCGTCTCCTGAATCGATGACCTGTAATAAAATAGTTTGTGATAAGCTGAAATAAATTTTTATGCAATTTTTCCCTAGGTTTGGCTTTCCTGGATAGGAGAAAGTATTATGTTCTTGATAAATATATAATATCTTCGAGATCAGTGAAAATATGCTTTAAAGCACATGATTCTTCAATAAATATCTTTGGAACTTCCGAAATTCTAATACTTTCAAAGCTGATATCATTCGCCAATTTCTAAATTTTCAATTTCAAAACCAACTTACCAATCCAGTCAAACTTCTGTCACTAGCTTCTCTCGATTGCCAGCTGGCTGTTAATGCAAGAACGGCCTGAACAGCTATATAGAGCCCCGGGACGTTGAACGACTCGAACATAATTTCCGCAGTATATTCCCGATTTTCTGGTGTGTTGAGAGGTGGTTCAGTCTGAAGAATTTCAAATTTTTTTCGTATTCAAAACATTTATGAACAAAAGTCATTTATGAACAAAAGTTCATACCAGGAGGAAGAAATGATCTTCTGGTTCTGCGCGAAGGTACTTGAAAATGCATTGCTCCCAATACCGCTCCATCAAATCCCAGTCTTCGACGATACCGTGGCGAATTGGATACTATACAACTTCAAAAATTATAATACCGAGAGAAATCTTCTTCTAACCTTGACCGTATAGTTCGAAGCGGCTGGTGACAAGGCTTCATCGCCGATGAAGAAGTCCAGGTCATCTATTCCAGCACCACCGACCCGATTATTCCAGCGGAGAGCTTGCGCATTTGAACTAGCCACCTTGTCTTTCACAGCAATAGCTAAAAATAGTGTTTTTAAATAGCTTAAGAATTTTCGGAACTAACCAGATGGAATGATGAACTGTGGTTCCGTGTTTCCAGCATATCCGAGTTTTGTATATCCAGTTCCGTTATCTATCACACATGCCGGAAGTTGGTGTGATGACATTGTCCTAACTACCTCTGTAAAAATACAATATTCATACTGAAATCACTTATGAGAATCAGACGAGAAGTGAAAATACGCATGTTTGTTCATCACTAGTCAAACAATCAACGCGAGTCTATGGTCGCTGACTCATCACGTCGTAGAGTTAAAAATCGATACATTGCATCTAGTAGAGAAAGAACACTAAATATTGAGAAAGAAAGTGATTTTCGCTATTCAGGACTTGTTTAGTTGGGTGGACTTAATACCATAATTGCTCAGAAAATGAGTAGGAAAAGTGAAAAGAGAAGATTTGGTTAAGAGGTAACAAATCGGTAAGATGGAAACAAGAGAAACTTCTTGGGAATTGAATTATTGCTTGAATTTTATGTTACAAAAACGAAACGAGAGGCGTAATGGCGAAATTGGATGAATGAGAGTTCAAAAGAATTCTAATCCGGCTGCAGCTGCAGTTTGGAGGAGAAAACTAGTCCCTGCGTCCGCGGCCATGGAAAGCATTTTGCGAAAATGGACCATTTATATCATGACTACAAAAAAGACTATGGAGATAGAGATAGATTTATCTGGATGGAACAATTTCCAGCACTTGGCTGAAACCCTTGACAACAAACAGAATTTGAACTTTATCAAGAAAGCCAATCATCATTACTCCCCTGTAGTCAGAAAAATTTTGTTGTCGGAAAATGCAAAGTTGAAACCGAAAACTTGGAAAAGAGCGGAAAAATTCATAACTGTATAATTTATTCAAATAATAAAACAAAACTCTAATAGCATGAACGAATTCCTTTTATTGGAAGGATTTCATTATATTTGGGCAAATACTGTTTTCCAGTACGTTTACAATTAGGGGGAGACAAATAAATAATTTAAATAAAAAACGACAGAACCACCCAGTCGGGAATCGAAATTAGGAAAGCGAGGCAAATAATTTACAAATATCACACATATTTATCACCATCCGACTAGCAAGGGAGTATTAATTCTTAAGAGTAGAAATTCGAAGTCCAACGACATTTTTGCCGATCTCCGCAACTTGACACACATTGCACACTTCTCCTTCAAGACCCTCGGAATATGATGCTCCACAGTACGGGCATTTACACATTGGGCGTCCACGGTAAAGTGGTACAAATTGGCGAGAGCACACGACAAATGGATTGTGTTCATCATAGCTCAGTTGATGAGCATCAGTGTTGTCTCTCTCGGCGGCAGCAAGAACCTTCCGAATTTGAGTCGCGATCTCTGGACGTGGGCCTGAAAAATGGAACCGTAAATAGCTTCACAATAAAGAACAAAAACTACATACCAACTTCCAAAAGTCTCTTACAAAGAGATGCGCATGTTTTCATCTGCTTCATTTTGAAGAAAGTGTTCACGGCAGATCTTAGTGTTAGAATGCGATGCAAAGGTTGTAAATCGAAATGAGTGAAGTAGGCAGCGAGTTCGGCGTTCCTCTTAGCATCTTCCATATTCGTTTTTGGCAAGTCTTTGCGATATGTTTCCAGTAGTAGAGCGGCAAGATATTCACGAGTGATTGCAATCAGCTGCTCAGCTTCGGCGACTTCTTTCTTGGAACTGACTACCAATAGTGGAATGGAGAGCAGAATTTCCCGTAGTTTCACAACAGCATCTCCGAACTTTCCATTTGTAGTCAGTTGGTACGCCTTTTGAAGTTTCTTCTCAAGCTGTGAAAGCTTGAATGCGGCGATCGGCAAATGATTTTTGTCTTCTTGGTAGTTACGGAGAGGGTGAATGAATATTGGACCAGCAGGTTCCGAACCACCCCAACCACGGTGCGAAAGACGAGAAACTGCATATGCCTTCATGAAAACATCTTTGAATGGTTTATGATCCACAACTCCAATAGTGTCTCGCAGAATTTTGACAGCAGTCTCAAACGATCCGGCAGCAACGTGATCAACAGGGAGTCGGGACACATTCGGCCATTCGGAAGAGACCGCTGGAGCTGGATTTGGAACCACTTCCTCACTATCGTCGCCTCCTTGATCATCAGGGATATCAGGCAACGCCAAATCATCATCAACGTCCCATCCACCTTCTTCATCAACATCAATTGGGCCTTCACCTTCGTCCACTTCAAGTTCACCATCATCTCCCACCAGATACTCATCATCGCCCCACGCATCATTACCAACATCAGCATCCTGGAAAATAACATGGAACTTAGTTTAACTTGGTGGGAACTTACATCATCTTCCATTGCAGCAAATGCTGGCACTGTTGTTTTAACACCAGCAGCTCTGTTGGGTGCCAGTTGTCCTCCCAATCCGATTAATTGAGCATCAAAGGCTCCCGTGCTGAAGCCAACAGAGGCCAGTTCTCCTCCAAGCGGGCAACTGGTGGAGGTGGGACAAGAAGGCGGGCATTTGAATCGACTGGTGGAATCGGTTGCTGGCGACTTTCAAGTTCAGATTTCAACTCCTCTGCTTCTGCCGAATATCCATGAGTAGCAGCTGCGAGATACGCAAGAGAGGTTTGACCACAGCTGCGAAGAACTGAAAATTGAAGATGTAATCTAATGGACACAGAAAAAAGGAATTAAGAAGGCACATGCTCATTAGGGAACCGGAGCTTAGTTCAAAAAATACCTACCTTTGATTCTCTCTTCAACATCACCAACGTACAAAGCTGTCTGGAACTGTCCGTGAGCATCGTTACGAGCCTGAGCGATTTTCATCATCTTAACAAGCTTATCGGTGTTTCCAGTGACAAAATACAAGAACGCCAGCTTCTCGAAATTCTTTGTTCTCTGATAACTCATCTCCACAATCTGATGATTTCCTTGTAGAAGAGCAGTTTCTCCAAGAGCTTCCCAAACAGCAGGCTCGTCAAGCTTCTTAGCGGCCTCCAATGCAATTTGAAGGTTCCCGCATTCGATAGCTAAGCCGAAACGCGTCTTTTCATCTTTCACGAAATGTAGAGCAATTTCTGGATAGCCTTTCTTCTCGAGATATCCAATGATCGATTGTCCGACCAAATTTGCAGAACGAACCATATTGAGAACTTCATCAATCCGCTTATTGATCAATGCCAATTTGAATTTAAAGTCCGAATTGTCAATTGGAACTTCTACAGGTGTAGCTTCACGGTTCAAGCAGTAGAGAACGTTTCCACGGATAGCCAAAATGTATAGAGGGAGATCAAGAGTGCGAACGATTCCACAGTCTCCAGAACTGATAGCATATTTGATGTGGTTACTGGTAGTATACAAAAACACTGCATCGTCATCCCAAGCTCCACTCTTGACTCTAGTAGACTCTTGTTGTGTGCACAAAATTTCCAGCTTGCGATTCACCAACGTCAATGTGTGCTTCGAAAGAAGCGCAGCGTATTCCATAGATTTGTTCCAGATCACATAGCGAACTTTCGAAACCTTCACGGAGGCAGTCACAATTTTTTGTTGCACATCAAATAGCTGAAGCCCATCGTCGTTACGCAAAAGAAGCATTCCCGTTCCAGAATAGAAAATGTCATCAACAGCTGTGTTGATGTTCTCAAGTTTTCTGAGTTCCTTGTTGGTCAAGTCCCGGAGTGATACATTTTGAGCTTTGTCAAGGACAGCAAACCGGTTGCGGGCTACCCATAGCGCGTTGATTCCGGTACTCTTCACGCATGCTGCTTCGACAGTTCCATCAGAATTGCTGGCGACTTTGTAGAGTTCGAAAGCACAGAGATCTTTGTTGTGAGTGCGACTGGTTAGAAGGAATGTCCCTTCCGCAGGATTAAACGACAGAGAGTAGTATGGCTGCATGAATGGTTGTGGGTGACGGAGTTTGCATAGGGCTACATCTTTGCTGAAATATTCACAGTTTAACAAATTCAGATATTTGTTCTATTTTTATTAACTTACTTGGTTGTCAGGTCAAGTTTTCTGATCTGTTGGCCTTTCACATAGAACACCAAATTGTCATTAACGCAATAAGCTGGACGTTCTCTCTGAATCTTGAAAACGACCATTCCATTGTCATGACCAGCAGCAAACATGTTGAGGCTTGGATGAGCAGCCAATACCCAGAATCGTTCGTTTTCATGGCGGAAAACATGAAGGCTGGTCCGCTTTTGCATATCCCAGACTCTAATAGACTTGTCCTCGGAATTGGAAAGAATCAAGTCAGCATTTGGGTGGAAAATAACAGAAGAAACGTTGTTGTAGTGTCCTCGACATGAGTCTAATTCCCAGGCTTTGGTTTCATTGTACCGCCAAATTTTAACTTGACGATCATCCGATCCGGAAACTAAAATTGGATTAGCATGGTGGAAAGCCACCCAATTGACTCCGCGATCATGACCTTCTAGAACAAGTTTAACAACGGCGTCTGGTTGACCAAAAAGCTCTGCCTGTTGAGCTCCAGTTTGACGAGGTGCTCCTCCTCCTGGCATTTGTTTTTTTCGGAGTCCCGAAATATCCCAGATGCGAACAGTTTGATCCAGAGATGCGGAAGCAACAAGATCTTCTGTTGGGTGGAATTGAGCACACATGACATAGTGGTTGTGTCCAGTAAGAATGGCAATCGAGTTTCGGCTCTGCCAATTCCAAATTCGAACCGTTTGATCGTCGGATGCAGAAATAATCCATGGATATTTGTTATGGAAGAATGTGGTTCGAATATAATCAAGATGACCGAGAAGAGTGAAGATACATCTTTTCTGTTTGTAGTTCCATACTTTGATTTTGTAGTCATCACCTCCGGACACGAAAATTGGCTGATCGTGATGGAAGCAGATTCCTCTTACAGGTCCATCATGCTCGTCGAACTTGTCGAGCAAAACACACATGCGATAGTCCCAGAGTTGAATGACTCCACTGTGAAGAGAAGTCAAAACCCATGGGCGAGTTGGGTGGAAGGAAATTCCTGAAATATGTACATTATGGCTCATTGAGAAAATAATTTTCCCTTAGTTTAAAAAAACCTCCTTTTTCAGATCTTACCTTTCACTCTCGCAGATTTTGACTCAAATTTGATGAGGAGCGACATGGCCTCCGTTGGTTTTCTTCCGGTACAAGTGAAGATAACCCTTAGAGGATATTCTGAAAAAAGGTCTATGAGACACCGACAAGTGGAACTACGAATTGATCGTCTGGGAAAAAAATATGAAGACACATTAAAGTTCAGAGATAACTAAGACTTCAGCACGCTGCTTCCGGAGATCAGCTATTGCAGATCCAAAGGAATCCACGTTTAAGTCGCATCGAAGTGTAAGCAGCGTTGGCAAAAGATGAACACCTGCGCATCTAACAAAAATCGTGCATACACCCTGACGCCAGTTTGCACAGCCCCTTGGCAATATTTTCGACACTCCCCCAATTCCTCGGAATCGGTTCCTCTGACACAACCCCTTCCTCGGAATCGGTGGAGTGTCATATTTTCGTGACTCCACCGATTCCGAGGAAGGGGTAGACACATGAGGAAAAAGATAGTGCATTTGAAAAGAACTGGATTGCGGTTTTTGTGATACACCGTATTTATTTTGCCCAATGAATCGGTAGACATGAAAATTTATGTTTTTGTTGGAACATATAACACGAAGGACACGTTGTCAGGTTGACATGAAAATGAATCAGATCTAATGAGGATATTCATGACATTGTGTGTTTTTAAATCTTTGTATGCATGAATCGGTTTAAAAACACTTTTAATATCATGAATAACCTCATAAAGGTTATGGTGAAATAACAAGGGTGCGTTAGATTTAAATAAAGCAGAACATATTTCTGTTAGAAAACAAATCTTAGTGCCTAGATGCTGTTATTCAGTCCTTCGACTAGAAATAACAAAAATGTATCGTTGTCAATTATTTACAAAGAATGTAGAGATGGACGAGGAAGCCGTAGATGACAAGACCAAGAACCCCATAGGAGTAGTTTCGATTCCGAGAAAGAAGAATCACAAGTTGACGAACAGCTGGGTCCATTGAAGGAAACAGTGTATCCTAAAATATATTCAGTGGGTTATGTATTCTTTAAGACACCTTACAATACGGTGTGCATTTCCGAGAGCCTGGTCTGCTTGAATTGATTAACTTCAGTTTGATCCGAACGGACCATGCTGTGACTTTGAAGATCACTAATCTGTGTCTCACATTCTGCTAGTTTCTGTTTAGCATCAATGAGTTCGTTAACAAGGCCAGTCCGTTCCTCAGCATTTTCAACTTGGATGTCCTTGTTGATTTTTTCCAAATCGGCAACTCTGAAATCAAATTTACCAGCCGTCTGGAGGTAGTCAACTTACACTTCCTTCAACCGAGTTGATTTTGCCAGTTCCGCGTCCAGCTCGATATTTTTCTGCTGTAGCTCATCTGTCTGCTGTTGGAGCTCAACAATTCTGGAAACTTATTGTTTACTGATGATAGCTGCTTCATCTTACTTTTTTTCAAGACAATCAGTTTTTTCAGTGCTGAGTTGAAGCAATGCCATCGTCGAAGAAAGTTCATCCTCCAAACGCTTGTTTTGGGCCTTTGCGGCAGTTTGGATGACTTCCAAGCGGTTTTCTAGTTGCAGAACTCTGAAAGAAAATCATCGAATCTGGAACATTAAAAAAAAAGTAACTAACTTGTCCTTCTTTGGAGACAAAGCGTCTTGGAGTTTTTTGTGGATTTTTGCCATCTCAGTCTCCGAATTTTGTTGCTTCAGGGCCAATTCATGTTTTTCTTTAATTAGATTTTCGATCTCTGTCTGCCTGTCTTCAGCCAAAAGTTTGAAACTTTCAATCTGAGATTCCAGTGATGCTTTCTCGGCAACCATTTTCATAAGGTCGTTCTCCTTCTGTTGGACCTTTTCTTGTGTTTCCAATAAGGTCTTCTCTTTTTCCACCTTCAACTCCTCTATCGTGATCTCTTTCTCCTTCAAGCGCCGCACTTTTTCAGACGACTCTTCAGTTTTTTCTTCCAACCTCTTCCCGAGGATTTCGAACTTAGCTTTCTCCGACTGCAACAATTTTTCGTACTCCTTCTCTTTTTGGTCGAATTGTCTGAACAGATCTTCTACAACTTTATCTCTTGAAGATGATAGCTTTTCAATCTTAAGATCCTGTGCCATAATTTGAGTTCGAAGAGCTTCGGCTTCATTCGCAAGTTGATGGTTTATTTCCGCCAGACCTGATTCTGTTTCTTTTCTCGATTCCTCGAACTCTTCTAGTTTTTTCGTTAGACGCTCTGTTTCTTCCAGCAACTTCTGTTTCTCTTCCATGGTACTCGAGAGTACTCCTTCAACTTTCATCTTGCCTTCTTCGATTTCCTGACTAAACTTCTGTTGTTCGTCCAACTTTTCCTGAATCGTTTTCAACTGAGCATCGAGTGACTTGATTTTATCCGAAAGCTCGCAGATCTTCACTTCAGCATCAGAAATGAGAGCATCTTGTTGTTTCTTGTGCGATTCTTGAAGAACAATTTTCTCCATTAGTTCGGAGACTTCCTTTTCGAGTCTATTACTTTCGTCATCATATTTCTGCTTAAGTTCCTCAGTATGTGCGCTAAGTTTGCAATTGAGCTCTTGCTGGACTTCCAGAGCAGCGTCGGAAGAACCGAGTTTCTCGCGGACGGCTGACAGATCCTCTTCATACCGTTTCAGTTGTAAATCCGAAGATCGTTGTAGCTCAGCCAATCTACACTCCATTGTCGAAACCCTGCAATTCAGTTAATTATTTGAGAACACCTAACCTAGGACTTACTGTTTCTGGGACTTGATGTGTTCCTGTTCACAACCTGCGATTTTGGATTTGTAGGCAACAACCGTCCGATGGAGATCGAGGTTTTCCTCTTCTTTCTGGACGAGCTGTTTCGAAACTTCAGAAAGTTTGTTCTCATTGCTCTCCAGGGTACATTTCAAAATTTTGATAGAATCTTCGAGCGAATCGAGTGTTTCAGAATTGACGGAGGACATACTTTCGTTGCTAGCAGAATGGTTCAGTTTTTCTTCTAGAGCTTTGCTGTGATCAAGAAGATCAGAATTTTTAGTCAGAAGGTTTTTCAATCTTTTCAATGAATGATCTTTCTCCTTCTTAAGCTTTCTGTTGGCTTTCTTCAAAGCATTCAACTCTTCCTGGAATTTTTCCCTCTCTTCTTCCATAACTTCGCTTCTCTGGGCATCATGTTTGCTAATAGTTTCTAGGAGACTACTGTTCTGTTTGAGAAGCTTCTGGTAGGCAACATCCTTTCCTTCGAGAGCGGCCGACTGGAAAACTTGCTTCCGTTGTTCTTTTTTGAAATTTTCGCGAAGTTGTGTTACAGCGCTGACCAAGTCGATGCTACCATTGAATTGAAATTCTTCTTGCAAATCCTTAACCAACGAAGCTTCTAAATCTTCTTTTTTCGACAACTGATCTTCAGCTAGTTTCATCTTCTCCGTTTGCAGTTTGTACTTATCCTGAAGCTCAAGAATGGTTTCTTTTGCAAGGGCATCTGCTGCGTGATCATTTTCTTCAAGCTTTTTGATGTACTTTCGGCAAGCTTCCTCGTTATCGCGATAGTGTTTAACATCCGCCTTCGAAGAAGCCAGTTGTTGTTGGAGCTCTTTGATTTTCCCGTTTGATTCAACTAGATTTTTCTTGACTTCGTCAAAGTCTTTCTTGATAAGTTGGACTCCATTATTGATTCTGTCATAGCGAGTTTCCAACTTCTCGCGATCGACTACCAGCTGATTCATGGAATTTGAGAAATCTACATTTTGCTTCACCATAGCTGCTTTCAAAGACGATATCTCTTGCTGCGCTTGCTCGAGCTTATCAGACGTTTCCTTTTGCAAGTGAACGCTTTGAAGCATATCTTTTTCCAGTCTCACGGATCGTTCTCTCACAATTTCCAGATCGGAGCAAACAGTCCTATAGGAAGACTTGTGAGCTTCAATATCTGATTGAAGTGTTTCAACAGTTTGACTGGCACTCATCAAAGATTTCTTCAACTCTCCGATAACCGCTTCAGATGTTTGACGTCCTTCTTCGAGAGTTCTATTGGTTTGATCAAGATTATCTTCAAGTGATTTTACTTCGACTGAAATTCTCATGTGAAATATCTTACAGAATATCATTTGATTACCTTCCAGTTGAATGGCCCGGTTTTCCGTATCGTTCAGTTGGTCTGCAAGCTTCTCACGTTCCTTTACTAGATCGTCGTTTTGTTTTGTGACTCGATCTAACTCTTCAATGATATTGGTGCAGTTGTGACCATTCGCAGATTCGGAGAGATTATCTTCGCGAATTGTGAACAACGAATCACCATCCTAAACAGAAAATTAAATTTGTGAAAAATCAAATGAGCTTACTCCATTGTGATCAGCTGGTGCGGTTGCCTTTAATGTCTTGATGAGCTGCTTAGCAACGATCAGTTCGGCGTCTTTTTTTTCCAGTGAGGAATAGAGCCTTGCCACATCTTTGTGTGTATCTGTGATAAATTAATTTTTTTTTCCATATAAAAAATGAGATCTTACGAGGACTTGAGCCTGATGTTACAAACTCTCGCAACTGGGATGACAATGCTTCGAATTCGACTTGGTGGCTGTCGTTCGATGATGATCGCCCGTCACTTTCTATGATCGTTGACGCATTCAGAGATTGACTGCCGTGCTGAATTGAAAGCAGTCTTGAGAATGCCATTGACTGCAATAATACTCACCTTTAGAAGCTTCGTCTTGTTCTTACGACCCATGATTGACTCGATTTGTCGAGCAATATTATTACCTAAAATATACAATTAAACTATTTTCAAAAAATCTTGTGAAAATCAGAATTTTTTCGCATTTTCATAACGATCCACTTTAGGACGGCAAAGATGAAAGGCGCGGTGGTTTATTTCTTGTCGTGACAATTGTCGTCGCGAGACCTACCTACAGTAACCCAGCGGGGGAGTTTGAATATAATTTTTCATGAAAATGGGTGACTTTGGATTTGAAGAGCTGAAACTTCAGAGAATCTTCAATAGAAATAATTGGGAAAAGAGCTAAAAAGTGAAAAATAAATAATGTAATAAGGAAGATTTGGAAAAAAGAAATCTGGAAGCTCAGGTAACGAGTTTCCGGTTTTTTACTCAATGTTCGTTTCACGAAACATTACATATCATCTCAATTTCCTGTCATATAACGGGGGACTTCCAAAATTCCTCATGTGTAACCTTGAACGCTAAATATCTCCTGCTTTCGTTTTTTACTCTTTCTTTTCTACCCAACTCTTGAGTCTTCTATTTGAAGTCTCTCTGTTGAATGAATTTCTATATTTGTCATATGCACTGTATTCTCGGATATCATTCATCAGGAAAAATGGATAAAACGCCTTTACAAAAGATAAAAATCCTAGGGAGACCGTATTTTAATAGAGATACTTATTTCTACAAAAAAAAGCGAAGACATCAGACAAAGGGATTGCATTTAAATTGATATACTTATGCAGAGAAATAGAATCCTAATAATGATGACATGCTTGGAGACATTTGACACGGACCAAGTATTTCAGTTGAACTTGATCGACATCGTACACAATGTATCTGTAATGTTTGATAGTTAGGTGCTTTCTATTCAAGAAGCATTTCTCTCGAACATACTCATTATAAAGCAGGCGGAAGTCGGTTCCATGCTTCCCAGTAAGTTGAACATGCGTTGGACCTTTTGGAACGACATAGCCGTCTGCATGATTGTAATCTCCAATCGGATTGGGACATTCACGACCTATTCCTGAAAAGAAAGGATATAGGAAAATGCTGTCACTATCAGTTCGCAGGTTTTCGATTATTATTATTACAGTTACCTTTAACAGATGATGTTCCTTTGGGCAGCGTATTCTTCGTCACCGATACTGCATCCATTTTCTCCGCCATATTACCAAGAGCCACATCACACAGCAAAAGATATGCTTCGTCTTTCGAAGCGTTCTGAATAGACAATTATAATCAACTACATAAGGGCGGAAGACTAACCACTCGACAATAGAAAAAGCTCTTGCTGAACATATCCGCGAAATATACGCCCTTTCCGAACATGTAGCCAGACACGGGGGCTTCTGGTGGGGCGATACGAAGGCCTTGACCAAGGATACCAGCAAAATTCATTTTTCCAGAACCATGCCAGAGGAGCTTTCGGTTGCCTATATGTCGTTTGAACTTGTTTGACTCATTTTCTCGATCAACCATCAGGATCTTTAAAAATCGTAAATTATAGTTTAGACAAGTATAGTACATACATCCATCAGTTCAACTTTGATATTATGAGTGGACCCTTTTGTATTGGTGATATACTCCTGAATCATTTTCCATTCATTGCATCCCTTTTCTATTGGCTGAAAACAAATTTGAAAACGATACCATGCAAAGGGCTGATTCAAACTTACATTCATTTTACATTTCAGTTTCTGATAGTTCACATCGACCGGATCGATGCCAATTGTTACCGTTGGTGTACTATCTCCACCACAAATTTGATCATATGCAAACTTGATTTCGAGTAACGCATTCAACATATTGTTCTTTTCCTGAAAATCTTCGTTTGAGCTAATCGTCGCGCGATATGAAACTCACTTTAATTTTGTGGAAACTATCTATTGGCTCGGGAACTTTCATTCCAAAGTTGTGAGGAATAATTGTATAAAACTTATTGGTGCAATCAAGGATACGGTCTTCATCGACGGGGACATCAATGAGGAGGTCACTGAGATCATTGAGAACAGCGAAAGCTTGATTGATTTGCTTATGGGAAAGACGACCGAGTGGCATCTTATTCACATCCATTTCAAATGACTTCAACGCTGATTTCATGTTCTCAATATCAAAAATTGACATAACAATTTCTTTCACAGCTCTCGGAAGAAGTGTTCGAGAACCAGGAATAATATCCTGCTCCTTGAGTTGATCCTGTAAAAAAAGAAGTTTTTGATAATCGCTAATTACCGTAAATACTTACAAACTCCGAATAATCAGTTTCAACAAAGCTGAAAGCTCCAGGCATCTTACGGAAATGTTTGCGGAACATCCATTCGTTTTTGGTTTTTTCGAGGAAAATTTCTTCGAATTTCTGGATAGCCGCTTCTTTTGCAAAAGAGTCATCCATGAAGCCCCCAACCTCAGTACCGACTCTTCCCCATGATCGAAATACGTAATATATTCTGAAAAAAAAACGAAAGTGTCTCTGTGTTTAGCTATCAACTTACTCTCTGGTGTCATCTTTGAGTAGCTGAATTTTGTAGAACGAATTCTTGTTTTGTGTGAGATCTGTGAATGAGAGCGTTGCTTGATAGAGTGCACCATCCACTTCGCTTCTATAAACGTGGCACCTATCAGCATATCGGAACTTAGCATCGACGACTGTTCCATTTTTGATGATGTGAGTGTTAGTCGAAGTGAGATCATTGATTTTTATTGGTACATGATTGTTCATGTCAAATGCTTCAGCAGCATAAATGAACTGTTCCCCGCGGACTCCGCCTTTTGATTTACGCCTATCCACTTTCACTACTTCCTCTGCTTCCTCAACATCAATGTATAGACGCTCACACATCACATTGAACAAAACGCTTCCTTGACACTTTTCGAGTAAACGAGGAGTTGTCTTAAATGGAGTACGGATAGGATTTTTCGTTTCGAATGTGCACTTTGAGTACTCAGTAGCATATCCCGTGCAGGTATAAGTTCGACGAGACGAGTTGTACACCACTTTTCCATTTTTACACTTTTGGCAGCCGATTGGAGCTCCGAACGTAGCGTTATCAGCCAATCGATCGATCACCTGAGATTGCGATTGAACGTTGAATAAAAAAAACTACAAACCAGTGCAGTTGGATCTTGTCCTTCCGGAATATCCTGACCGTTTATTTGCAGCACTGCGAGTCTCTCTGATCCACTCAACTTCTCGAAAAGTTGACGGCACGCCCACAACTGATCTGCTTGTTTCTGCAAACTGACGGTTCGAAAGATATTAATAAAAATTCAGCACCTTCATCCTTGCTTTCTGAAGCTCTGCTTTCTTGGTCTCTCTTGCCAATCTTCTCTTCTTGGATGCATCCGTTTCTTCTTCGTCTTGGATGATGATCTCCGGTTCGGCATGTCGTTTTTGTCCAGCGATGGAAGTTGACGGTACATCTGGCAACGGCAGCTTGTCATCATCAAGAACTACAGACGAAGCAGTGGTTGAAGCTTGAATAGTAGTAGTCACCTTGGAAGCGGAATCAGGTGTCGTTTCTAAGTTGCCTTCTTCAATTCCATCGACGACTAGCACCACCTTTGGCTGATTTGGCTCTGCTGGTCCTTTGGCTTTCATTATTTCCAAACAGCTCTCCGATACACGATTCTTCCAGCAATCTTCATAATCCGACCAACCAGGGACATCATTCAGAGTTCCCTCAACTTTTTCGAATCCTTCCAGATGGCATTTGAAGTGCAAGTTCTTGCTTTTGTGGATGACCTTGATTTCGTCCTTTTCAAAGTTAACGCCGCATTTGACACATTTCCCCCGATTCGTTGCTGATTTATCTGTTTTCAGTGCTGATAAGGATACAGTATTGAAATACAGTTTTGGAGGAAAATGGGGGTCTCTAAACTTCTGAACACGATCACGAAGTCTCTCCTGATCTTCCCAACGCAACCAGTCTACTCCTTTGATGGAACTTATGTTAATTTCGTGGCGGCCATGAGCCAGATTCTGCCAGAAACATTCAAAATGAAACCATGAATCCATGGTCCCGTCGAAAAATATAGACGGTTGATGGAGGGACATTCGGAGCTGTTCCTGTAAAGTTTTTACTTTAATTTCGGATAACAATATTGTTACACTCACTATGTTGATATACTTCTTGCATTTTTTGCAGGTCGACCGAGCAGATTTGGCGTATTCCACCGAATATGGAAGTGGAGTGTTTGGGTGTAACATTCGGTTCCTATGATTGATTTATTACTGTAAAAAAAGTATGATTATTATGTTACTTTTCAAGTGTACAATCATAAAAGTATTACAATCAAAACGATTAGATGAACATGATGCTTAGTGAACGCTGGAGCTCAGAACATGTTATTTTATTGACTTTTTCTCTCACACTATTACAATAAGCAAGACATCACAACGTCGTATTTCCATTGCTCATCGCGAAATAGGGGGATGATGTCAGAAAAAAAGAACAGTGCTATTAAACACAATAGCAATTACGAAAATTATAGTAACTGAGTTCAGTGAATGCGGTCGAAAAATCAAAAAGCTGAAAAAAGCAAGTCATCATTTTAGAAGGAGCCTGGCGCTAGAAAAAAACGAGTGAAATCGATAGCATCGTCTCAGTTGGGGGCTATTTTTTGAATACGCGCTATATTCCATTGTCCATGGGGCGGATTTCCCTTATAAAACTCAGTCAGGCACTTCAGTTTCGACTAAACTAAAGAAGATACTCAGAAAAGTACTTTTTTCTGAACTCGAGGAAAAGAAAATAGTAAAGGAGTAATTCATGACATAAAAATGTTTTTTGAACCGTTTCTTGCATGCAAAGTAATCCATTTTTTGTGTTTGAAAACATTTCTTGGGTTTAAAAAAAAATTCATGAAAAAAAAATTAGAAAAAAAGAAATAAAAACAGTTTCGAAAGTTTGTGTCGTGTCGAGACCGTTTCAAAATGTCTACCGTACTTACAGTAATTTTTCAAAGGGTCATGCCTCAAAGAAATGAAGAATTTTCTCAACACGAACATAATTTATGCTTTTTTCATGAATTTTGAAATTTCGACATGCATGATTTGTTTTTAAAAACAAAGCAACATTTTTATGTCATGAATCACCCAAATTTTGTAGTATGTTCTAACGAGCCCCTAAAGGCTCAAAGCGAAAACACATTTTGCATTTTTTCGCTGTAGAAAAAGCCTGCGTTTGCAGACATAAATATAAAAAAGTCACGCACTCGAATCTAGGTGAAAGTGAAAGCCGCAACTCGGAGTGTCGTTTAGGCAAAATTTTTTGTTGGTCGCTATATCTACCTTTGATTTGTCTCCAGTTTCTCGGATATTTTCAGGGGAGTGACAAAAAGTGTATTTTTCAGATACGATGGTACCTGTTCTAGTGGTTTTCTCGCAAAGTCATGTTGATTTTAGAATACCAGAGTTTGAAGCGATCTGTTCGATGCTCTCAATTAGAGTGAAAAACATGAACTCAATAAACACAGAGGTTTAGTATTCATTGAAAAGATAAAAACCCAAAGTCTTCATTTTCAGAATCACATGTTTGTTCTTCATTTCGAGAATCGTCTGGATGTGACAAAGCTATTATCACGTTCTATTCTGATTAAGTTCGCCATCTCGTTATCTGTAGAAGCACAGTCATACGAACAACTTTTTCACGAATTGAAGAATAAACCAGAAGTGATAGAAAACTATGACGTCCCCGATGAGAGCTTCGCATTGAGATTCTTCGCGATTGGTAGAAAGAAGAAATTAGATAGTATCGAACGGATCAAGGTTTCTCCCTAGCAACAAAGTCATGGATCTTACATAGTTATTGCAGATGTTTTTAGAAGCTGTTCAGTTCAACCATGCTCCAATTTGTCTTATATCGCCTGTCAATGAGTTCTATTTAGTGGAGGAGTATGATCATCCCACAGACGAAAACCCTCGAAAAATCTTCTTCGGAAAGTTGTGGGGGGAAGGTCGGAGTGAGCTGAAAACAAAGTATAACTTGCGAGAAAGATGCTATATTGGTAACACAACGATGGATCCAGAGTTGTCGTTCATTCAAGTTGGTTTTCCAATGCATTTGTGTTCTCTAATCGAGCATCTTAAGGCTAACTTAGCAATGGTACAACCTGGAAATCTTGTCTTCGATCCTTTTGTAGGAACCGGTGGACTAATCCTTCCAGCAGCCGAATTTGGAGGATATGTGATGGGGACTGAAATCAATTATCAGACAGCGAGAGCCAAGGGACGGTCTTCTAGACAAGGAGTTGGAGAGCGACACGAGTCAGAAAGCATTAGGGCTAACTTTGAACAGTATTATACTGAGGCAAGATTCCAGAACGTTCGAAACACATATTTATATGGGTTACTTGGTGTCTTGTGGTGGAAGGCACCTCGGCAGATTTTTCGGAGGCTCTTACACGGCTCAATTTTGAAAAGCTAGCTCGGCAGCTAGGTGTATTATACGTAAAATCATGAGAGGAATCTAATGGTATCGCTTGCCGAGCAAGTAAACGAACACAGAAAAAGTTTTTTTTCGGAGCTTGCTCGGCAAGCCTAAATTACACCAATGCTGGCCATGCATGTCGAAACAAAATTTAGTTTTACAGGATAAGTTATTATCTATTGTGATTGCTGATTCGAGCAAGCATGCGATCTGGAGTTCAAATGCAAAGTTTGATGTCATTGTAGCAGATCGTCAGTTTAATAAATCTATCGAATAAAAACAATATTCATGTTTTAGCACCCTACGGAGTTCGCGAAAAGGCTAGGAAGACTGTGAAAAACAAGAAATCGGATGCAAATGAAGACTAGTATGTTTCCAGAGCATCATGAAGAAAAATAATTCCATTTTACAGTATCCAATATCAACAAAAAGAAGATTACGATTTGGAAGCTGCGTTTTGTGATCTGCTCAACTTGGCAGCAATGGCATTGGTGATGAACGGACGTGTTTCCTTCTGGTACCCTGTTATCCTTGAGAAGTAACATTTCATCGCTCTTCCTGACAGTACAGCAATCAATTTTACAGGTACTGCTCTGAAAATCTGCCGACACATCCGGCCATGGAGTTGTTGTCAAACTGTGAGCAACCATTAACCCGCAAAACAAGTCGTCGGCTTCTCAGCTATCGGAAGGTGCGCGAACCAATTGCCAACGAAGAATGCGAAATTCGGAAGACCGGAGTTAGCCATTATCGGGATTGCTTGTTCTCTTCGAACAAAAAAGAAAACTGTTAAATCAGATTTGTTTTAGAATTGTTCATTTCGTTGTTTCATTGTTTTTTGTTGGTTATAATCATATGTTTTTTCTAATGTTTCTTTTGACATTGTTTTTTTTTAAATTTAATTTCGTAAATATTACATAATTTTAGTTCAAAATCTAACTTTTTTCAAATGTTTTATGGAGTTTTTTTTTCATTTCATGGGGGAAATTTTGTCTGAAAGTTTTTTCTCTGAGTCAATTGAAAAATTTTTCCAGATTTTATCAGGCCTTTCACATTTCGGACGACTTTTTAACGCAAATTTGAGGCCGTATGCAAGAAAGTGGAAAACCGTTTTCCGGTGTTTGGAAAAAGATGTTCTGAAAGTCTGAAAATTTTTTTTTCCCAATTTGAAAATGGATTTTGGGCTAAAAAATGAATAAAAACGAATATAATTACAGTAAAAATTTTTGTCACTTTCAGAACATCATTTTCCAAACACCGGAAAACGGTTTTCCACTTTCTTGCATATGGCCTCTGTACTGAATTCAGTTTTCAAATTGTGGAAAGTAAGAGACGCAGACCGTTAGACGCTCCAGCAGGTCTCGTAGCGAAAGTGTTTGCAGTCTGCTAGATACGGTCATCCACAGGCATGTAGTTGACGGCGGAGGAAATGCGACGTTCTGTCATTTTTCGGCCGCTTTCCTGTCACTCTTATTCGGGCACCTTATATAAAATTGATGCCTTTGTTATTTTTTCTTAACTTTTTTCTTTTTTGTAACTCCTTTGATAATATTTTAATATTTGTAAGACTAGTTTTAAATCGTTTCAGTAATGAAGCTGACATCCATCCTCCTTCTCACTGTTCTTGGATTCTGTGCAGTCTATGGTTAGTTTCGATGTTCAAGGTGATTTTGTTAATCATATTGTTTCAGCTGCTGATGTTGTCGATGGAGAAGTAACTGATGACGCCCCAAAAGCTAATCTGGAAGAGGATGACCTCACGATCGGAGCATCCCCAGATGCTGAACTTGCTTTCCACTTTGTGCAACCAGCAGATGCCAACGTTCTTCACGGTTTGTTTTTTTTTCTCTCAAATAGTTGATTATCGTATTGTTTGTTCAGAATTCTATACGGGAAAGCCCGTCAAGTTCCTAATTGGTTTCCAAAACAAGGGAGAAAAGGACTTCGTCGTCAAGTATTCCGAGACCTCTTTCCGTTTCCCAACTGACTACAACTACCACCTTCAAAACGTGAGTGATCAGGCATCGAAATATGCAGGCAGTGTTACTTTTCGTTTTTCAGTTCACCAGAGGAGAGTACAACCGTCGTGTTTCTCCAAAGGAGGAAGTCACTCTTGATTATGGTTTCTATGCTCACGAAACTTTCGCCGGACGCCCAGTTGGACTTGTTGTCAATATTCACTACCAAGATGCTGACGGCAACGTCTTCGTCAACAATGTTTTCAATCAAACTGTCAACATTCTGGAGGACGACTCTGGCTTCTCTGGAGAGACCGGATTCCTTTTCATCTTCTTCGTTGCACTTTCAATTGGAGGACTTTATCTCGCTAACCAATTCCTGTCGAAATTGTCCCGTAAATCTGGGCTCTCCAAGCGTAGAGTTGTTGAGCAAGGAACATCTTCCGAAGTAGATTTCGAATGGATCCCAAGAGACGCTGTTAAAAACAAGGAGAAGAAGTCTCCAGTCGCCGGATCACCGAAGGCTCGCAAATCTGCCAAGAAAGCCGAGTAATCAATGTCGATGAATAGAATTCCGTTGTTACTTCATATCAGAACTTTTATTTATTTAAAGCCTTTTTGTTTCTCCCAACCTCTCACGAAGACAAATTTGTGTATATTTCTTCATATTTATTTGTTCTCCTCCCAAAATTTTTTCCAATTTTCTCTTGCGGGACGGGTATCACACCCGCGGCCTCATCTTCTTTCTATGAAAAAGAAAAATAATAAAAATATAGAAACTAAATCCTAAATGTGTCAATTATATTTAGACATAATTAAAGCCAAAGTGACTGTATTTCGAATCGGGAAGAACGGATACTGCAAATGGGCGGGGTTTATTTGAACCGAAATGGAGATCTAGAGAACCCCACTCATGTTTCAGCAAAAAATGCACACGGTAAATATCCGTTTTTGCCAATTCGGATCTTGCCCATTGAAGAGCACACCAACTGGGAAG